CCAATGCTGACTGTCTCCCCGTCGATGCCTAAGACGAGGAATAAGTATCGGATTCAGCAGCACACACCGACTTACGTCGACCACTCCCTCTTTGGGGGACCTCTCGAGGAGCCCTCTTTTGAGGCACCATGGACGGACAAGAAGGCCGATAAACGTAGAAAAACACCTCTTTTGTGGGGGTCCCCTGTTCAGGGTAGTCTTGAATTTGAATCAAGGTCAAACTCAAGCATGGGTGAACGCCCTGGGTCGGCCAGTGGAAGTCGGCCTGGGTCGGCCACTGGAGGTCGAAGGTCATCCATGGGAAGCAGGCCTCAGTCTGCCTCGGGGAGGCGCTCAGCAACACCTAGTAAACCAGCTCCTTGGAAGTAATAGGTTTGAGCTACTTGAACTTTGATTAATTGGTAGATATATGAAACCCCTGAAATTAGTTTGTGGGAACTTTTGATCAGCCCATTAGAAAAACAAAATGCCATGTGCAAAGTTTGATATATATATAGTAACTGTTTAGTTACAATCCATATTAAATTCTTAAGCTGTGCTAGGTTGCATTTTCATGTTTGTACATACATAGTCTATCAAAACACGTGACTGTTTATTAATTGCTGTTTGATGTTAAAATGATAGGCCTACATATATATACATGTATATATATATATATATATATATTATATATATATATATATATACATGTCTGTTTGGTGTCCACTAATTACACATACAGGTGTATACACTGTAGATGATTTTAGAGTGCTTATTTGATTGCTCTCAGGTCCAGAATCTACACTTTTGTGAAATAAGTTGTGTCAAGAGATTATTCATGAATGCTCTAAAAGCATAGAATTTTAAAAAGCGAAGATTAATCTTCTTTTTTAAATGAAATCGATATTTGTATCAAACAGCAGAGGGGGGATTCAGGGAAACAAAAAAAAAGAAGAAGATTTTCTAATTTTTTTAATCTGTTTGGAGCATTTCTGGCTCCGAACAGATGATATATTCCGGTACATGTACAGTGTATATTAGGATTGTGTTTATTGTATTTATGTTTTTGTGTTTCCCGTCCAGTTTCTCATCAGTGCAAGTACAAATTATATCTATTTCTTTTCATAAGCATACATGTATATTGTTTGTAAACAATACTTTTGGATATATAACATTATTCAAAGTAAACTTTCATCTTTCATGTTGGCACCTGACAGGCAAATGGTAATTAATACATTGCTTTTAGGCTATTGCTTAAAGGGAATCTAGCTTTTAGGTTTGCCCAGATATAGTTCTACTAACGCATACAACTTTGTCTCGGGGCACAGTATCGTTTTGAGATGTCCTTGGGCTGTAGTTTTCATTGTGCCCCTCAAAACAGTCATTATTTGTATACATGTCCTGGGACCTTTCAAAGAAGCTGAATGAATGTGGATGAAATAATATTGTAATTGTATATAATGTTGTCATCATATCTACTTCGTTATGTACAGCTTTAATACATACCTTTTTAATATGACCAAGTAAAAAATACTTGGTGCAAAAGGTGTGATCGAGCCCGCTCTCCAATGTGATTTGTTATGAAGTTTTGGTTGACACTTAGAGACGTTTCTTCTGTATTCTCTGATCATTTTGATTTGTAATTTGCATCATAATATAGTATAGTCCAGAAATGTTACCGGTAGTTATACCTCTATTTATTGCTATGACAAGCTGTTACAGGAGTAAAAGTTCTCTAAGATGCACGTAATACGCTCATAATTGATTAAAGTTTCCATAAATTGTTATTGTCATTGGGCATACACAATATATGTAATTTGGTGGTGAGGTCAGCTGGTAAAAGAATTTTTTTGATGTAATTGATTGCCTATTAACTCTTGGGTATGAGTGTCCCATGTACATGTATACATATATATGAAAAACAGTTTTTATTTGTAAATTATAGACTACTTAGACACTAAACAGGTTTGTATATGAATTATGTGCCAAGAATGTACTACATGTATGTACAGTTGGTATATTTTGTGTAAAAAACATGTTTATAAATAATGTGAAATAAATTTTTGTTTAAAGATAAAAGACAAACATAAATGGAAATATCAAGTGTGAAAGTAATTTCTTTTGTTGTGCATTTAGTTATCATTATACAACACCTAAAACATGAATATATAATGCAATGTAAGTTGTTTTACACCATGAAATCTAAACATAGATAGCACATGCTGTTAAAGACGGGTTAATTGAGAAAGAGTATCACACATACCAAGCTACTGACAGTAGGAAGCACATTCCAAAAGATGTTGTGAAATGGAATATATGGTATTGTTATGTTCCAAATGTATTGATGATACAATCAGAAAAATACATATTTATTTGCCTTCATTTGTCCACGGGTTAAAATCTAGTAGGAATTTCTGAGCATTGTTTTACAACTAATATGTCTCAAGATTTAGTGTAGATAAATTCTACAAGATTTGATTTACAATATACATTATGTACCAAGTCCAGCTTGATAATAAATGCAGTTTCAGAATTTTCTGTCTGAATTGTTGATGTGATTAAAAAAATAATAATCAAGTGTTACAGTATATCATTAATAATGCTTGCTTTAAAGACAATTTTACATATTTGAAAAGAAGACAACATACCTGTAGTCAAATATAATTTTTAGGCTATATTCACATGTAGACTTTATTGCAACATAGTCTCGTAATAGCTTTTTTGTTTCATCTATTGTAGACATACCTGTACATGAAAATAATAATGTTCAATATACAGTATAAACATATAATCAACAAATTAATAATAACGTAAATTTAATTTGCAAAAAATATATTTGGTTGCATTATGCTGGAAGATATGAAAATATATTGCATAAATTATTGATATACAAACATGCATAGATTTAGCAAAGTGACAATGTGACCAATTGGAACTGCAAGTAAGTGCATTGTTATTGAACAATCTTTTAATTTTTTAAATAATATGATTAGAGTCTTCTTGGCTTTTACTTAGAGGGTTAAACTTTGTGTCCGTCATGTGCAAACCATGGTGCAAGAGGCTAGAGGTATATGAGATAATCTTTCAATGAAATATTTCTCGCAAAGGGGAACATTGGAGAGACCTAGAGAATATTTAGTATATACTATGAGAACATATTTTGCCATATGTTAAAGGTAAAGACTAGTATTGGAAACGCCCCAATTTCAAAAAATGAAATGGAAGCTCTCATTACCAATCATGTGAAAGAATATGTTTTGACTAATACATGATGATAAAAAATTTGCCGGGAAACCGCCTACTAATTCATATATTTGGTAAATTTGTTTCTCTCATGGTCTGTGAGAGATATAGGGTAGTCCCATATACATCTTTCTGTGTATAATACTTGTAACTTTACGAAGAATGGGCCATATTTCTTATCATTTTGATGATTCCAGAACCTTGCAGATGCTAGATGCTAGATGATCAACCTTTTCTGATCGATTCCACAACGTTTCTTTCACAATGCAATCGCATGACCATAACTGGTCTTTACCTTTAAGAGCTGATTAGCATTGTATTTGGTATTAGAGTCTAGTCTAAATGACTGAACTGCATTCCTGCTGACAATATGTGCTACACAATACACACTGAAGTATAGACCCTGCTAGACTTGATATGTACAACCTTGTTTTGACACCAGGGCCCCATTGCATAAAACTTACCGTTGATGTAACTTAGTCACCATGGCAACATCACTCAACAGCCAATCAAATCAAGGTTTCCTAGAAAATTACAATTAATGGCAAAGTTACCATCAATGTAAGTTTTATGCAATGGGCCCTGCTCTACTAAATCTAAAGAATTAACTAATTTGTGTTACTTTATACAAAAAAGTAAAAGTTTCGATACTAACATAGGTTCTACCTCTAGTTTTTTGTTGTTGTAAATTCCTTTAGAGTGGTGAAGGCTCGCAAATGCTTGAAACTACATATTAAAGTACAATGTACTTTCAATTCTCTCCTAACCACAAGTTCACATCATGATTGCATTTAAATGTATAATTAATATTATCCTGAGAATGTTCTTAGTGCATGCCAAATGGAAATATATGAACAGGTAATGCAGTGTTGATATAAGTCTAAGGAATGAAAGAAAATTCCATCAATTACCTCAATAAAAATTAGGGTAGAACAAAATACCACACAGGTTTATTTTGTTTATATTTTTGAGAAGTTGCATACACATGTACTTGATATACTAGACTCCCCCATCAAAAATATGTTTTCACTTAAGTTACATGAATGGCCTTGACCAATAACTTGCACTGTGTATTTTAAAAAAATGTGATGGAATCAAAATTTGAACAACAAGAAACCCAATTTCTTCCTCTTAGTCAGAAGACTTTGGGAAATGGGGAAAAGCATGAAAAAGACTACGATAACATAACAAATATTGCACATCATGATTGTTTAGGTCGCATAGTAAGTATGAAATTGACACACTGATAGAAACTTGAAAAGTATCACAAGAATAACTTTTAAAAATAAAACTCAATGGAATGAAAGTGACATAATAATAATACATGTATTATATGCAATTCGTTCCTGTTTTCACGAAGTGACGGTAGTGAGGAAAATCTGCACGCAAAGTGTATGCGATTTCCATTCACTACCGTCACTTCGTGAAAACAAGGACGAATTGATTGATTGATTGATTGATTGATTGATTTCTGTTTGATTTTCTTTTTCTTTTGCATTTTTACAAATATATAACAAACAAACATTGTAAATTTACACATGACAAAAGAATATATGTAGAATAAAGTAAGGCTGGGTGTAACTAATCGAGAACATCAAACAGGAGGGTTGACAAAATAAGCAAAGCTTGATAGTATGACTACCCTCAAAGGATACATAATAATACAAATATGGAGGAACAAAATATTGGTAAAAGGGGGAAAAGACAGAAAAAAGAAGAAAAAAGAAAAGAGAAGAAAGAGGGGATGCACATCAATATTCACAGACTGATGTGGTAGTTGGATTTCAAATTGATATATAAAGATTTTAAATAAGAAAAGAAATGCAAATTTGAATACTGAGTGGCCAACTTGGGATACAATAGAATGAGAAGACTCGCGAGGTTCGGACAGTAAGAATGTGAAAGTAAGATCAGCCAGCTGGTTTTAAACCTGGGCCTGCGAGTCGGAGCCTTGAAATGTTTGTATAGAAGACAGTGTGTATTCAGTATCCCAAGTAGGCCACTCTTTATTCATACGTGTATTCATACCAGGTCATGGAAGGTTATAATCAACGTTTCAATGAATGGAAGCAAAAAAAAGTAAACAGTACAGAATTGTCGACACTCAGGTCATGTATACACCATTCTACGATAGCACCTGCAATTAAACAGGTTGTAAACACTACATATTGATGCTATAACTGTACAAGAACAGTTTATACATAGACACTAGACACCAGAAACTATATGTAAGCACTATCCTGAATAACAAATGCATCACCAGATTATGTACCAATAGGGCAATTCCAATTGGTAATTTTTGAAATGTAACCAAATTTAATGCATACGTCTAGTTTGTCAAGTGCCATCAGCTATTACAAATATTTGCACTGTACATGATGAGAATTCCATATGGTGGTAGGCTAGAGCACAGCGCATTACACAAGACATGTCTCTCGTAAAAGTGAAGTCAACGCTTGGTGAATGACAACACCGGTTATTGGGTAAACATCAGAATGGTGTCAAATTCCCAACGAAAACCTGACTACTAGGCATCTTTATTATGGAAATAATTGTACATGTAATTTGGCATATTTTCAAGAAAGACATATCTGTGGAAGCAAATCAAAAATGGAAGTATACGATATATGAAAAGCAGCTGTGGTTGATATATATATACATATATAGCTGGACTATTAAAACATTAAGTACGACAAGTGTATTTACATAATACACTGACATATTTACACATAGACATAGCACATAATACATTACTTAATATAAATTACATTTCACTATGAACTCTTAACAGGTCCAGAACACAGATCATTTTTGAAAAAATTATATCGGCATAAAATTTGAAGTTACAATGCATTAAAAATAAAAAGAATCTATGTTCCTCTGAGAACATTCAACAGTCTGCAATTTGGGCACTGTTGACAATTGGCTCATTAACAAAGGACACTAAATTGATTGCATCTTCATTTCAATGTCAAAAACACATTGTGAGAAACGTATTGGTTCTGCATTTACTATTGCCTCTACTCTAGATGAAAGTACCGTATATTAAATATTCTTGATAAGATTGTTTTCTAATCTTTTACGAAAAAGGTATTTAAATGATTTTTTTTCTTCTTCATATACGTTTTAAGAGGAAAAAGGAAATGAAAATACCAACTGACTTTCTAAAAAGAAGATGTGCAGGCACATGTATATGTACAATTCTAAATAAGCCTTTACATCAGAAGAACAAGAATAAAACTAGCCACAGGTTAAAAAAAACATGTCAAAAGATGTCAAAGATTAAATAAATGGACAGATGTATATATATATCTTTATAATACAGCACTGATTGTGATTTTACTGTGATTTTACGTTTAAATCATGAGGATCTTTATTGCACATTGAAGGATAAGAGTAGTTCCTTCCAAGGTGGATTTTAAACAAGAATAACCAATAAATATTGACAACTTTGTGCAGCTTTCATTTCCCTGTAGAAAACTTCAACCAAAAAAAGTAAACAATCCCTACTTGTAACTCTATATTTCAGTTCATAACATTATTAAATTTCAAGAAGCTCAATTTCTTCGTTAAATTGGGCAGCTTAAGCTCATAGGCTTCAGCAACTTGTTCTCAAATGATCTGGGTGAAAAGTTTGATGTTACAACTTGTTCTAAATATATTCAAGACAGATATTTTCCATCCTCAAGCTGTTCATCTACACGAGAGGCATTAATGGGCTCCTCCAGGACTTATTTCATCAAAGTTTTTATGGTTAGGGTTAGGACTAGGATTACAGTTGGATTTCAGGTTTAAGATTAGGTTTCATGTTCTGTCTCAAGTTGAAGTTATGAAATTTGGTGTCTTTCCCGTGGCCTGACTTGGGGCCAATCAGGTATAATACTACTCTGGACAACGGAACCGCAGTAATCATGTGCATGCAACATACGCGAAACTGAAGCGTGAGGAGAAATTCGGTCTGTTTCGCAAACACTAGCGCGCACTGACCATGTAGAGATTAAGTCGTTGACTACCGTTAATGAAGTCTATTCGTTTACGTGCAGTTGTCCAAAAGAAGTCGTAGATGACGTTAACCAGTATTTGCCAAGCTACACTCCTTTAGTTTGCCACAAAGTTTGCCCTCCAGAGGGCGACCTTTCCATCCTTGCTGCCTGCCCCGGTGATGACGTAGCGTAACTCTGCCTGGCACATGGACCTGATAGCATCTTCATGAGCCTCGAGCTCCTTCTCGTACTCACAGGTGTTGGCATCGAAGAGGTGAATCTTGCCTTGTTTGCTACCAGCCCATATCTAAACCGATATAAACAATAAGTAATCAAAATAAGAATTATAAAATTGCTGACCGCACATTGAGCTAGACTACGGAGAGTCCTGGCTGCCGGGATTGGCTTTTCTTTTTGGAATAATGAGCTGATCTCCAAAGAGGATGGAAGGGAAAAGAGGAGGATGACATCATAGCTACACTAGGGGGGGGGGGGAGGGGGGGACAGCTTTGGGTATTAGTATCAGTGATACAGGGCAACATCAATGTAGACCTCTGAAATGGCTTCTTTACATTTTATCTAAGACCTAGCCTGATATATGTTATGAGATAAAAATGTATTGAATATGTTACAGAACAAACCACTAAAGACTGCTATTGCATTCCATATGATTTATGAAGAAAATCTTTTCATAATAACAAAGCATTTGGAGGCAGGGGCTCTAAGTGGAGAATGTATAATATACTGACCCTGGTTCCTACGGCAACAAGCTTGCTGATACCCCGGCATGATATGGTAAGAAGCTTCTCTTGTTTGAATGTGTTCACATTCCAGCAGGCTACCTCTCCTCTCCTACCACAACCTGTCCAGATCTGTCAAAGAACAAAGATTAGCTGTAAGTAACGTTCTATATAACGTTATTAAAATCTAAATGAAACTTAAAATGATCATCATTATTCAACACCGTCATCCCCACAATCATGATAAGATGAAGCACCATTCTCATTATCCTCCCTCTCCTCCTCCTCCCCATCCTCATTATATAAAAATCCCCATCCTCCTCATCACCACCATCATCATCACCATCATCATTTTCATCTTCCCTATCATAATAAACATCCTCCTCCTCCTCATCATCATCATCTTCATCACTACCATCAGCATTATTCCCCTCAATTTTATCATCACCACCATCATCTTCCTCATCATCATCATCTTCCTCATCGTCATCATTTTCATCACCACCACCATCCAAAATCTTTATCCTCACGATTTGCATCATCTCCTGCCTCCATCTCAGCCTTGGGTCCATAGTCGCACTCATGATATTGATATTTAAATAACTTACCCTGTTCCCTAGAAGAAGGAACGACTCAATGAGGGATGGACCCCCATCTTTGTCAAGATGCTGGAGGCTGCTCAGCTCACTACCATCCAGGCCTATGACTTTGATATCAGTCTTGGTACCTGCAAAATACAATACCAGGTGGAGTTTAGCTATCATAGAGTCAGGGACATTGACGATCGAGGGAATGAAAAACATTTTGCATATTGCAAATGTGTTCACAGCATGATGAGATGATAATCATATAAAAAGTAAAATCTCATTCTCTTGTCTTTTTTAAAAGTAAACAAATGTTTGCTGATAATCATTGAGACCGATAACAATGATAAAGATACATCAATAATAATCATGATCATATCAATACTAGAAATAATAGACAAATACAGGACTGTTTCTACACACTTTTACAAATGACAATAATAATAAAGAAACTTGAAATAATAATGATTTACTGCAAAAGAAGTACATGTCTAAAATGAGCAAATTAAAAGATATCAACATGCCATAAGACTTCATGAATAATATCACAATATATGAGACAGGTGTACTAAATGATGACGATAATCATGATGTTTATGATTGCAAGGAAACTTACAGCACCATAACTTGTCATTGTACCATCTCATTGAGACGAGCGTCTTGGTATTCTTCAGCTGTATCTGATGTTTCTGTGACAAGCTCTGCGTGTCCCAACCAAAGATCTGCCCATTCAAGCTGCATGTGAAGGCAATCCTGTAAACAGAAATGCAACATGTTGATTGAAACAATGTGTATACAATACCAGCAAAAGGAAAATAATTAAAGGCTCAACATCACATGTAATATCGCATTGGACAAGGTCAAGGGTTTGGTGGTAATGTGATTTTCGTTATGCATCTACGAAACCCAAATCAATCACACTTCTGTAATAAGCTTTAAAGGTTATTAGAGAACAACATTGGTCAGATTTATCTGTGCTACCAAACAAATATGTTTTCTCTTTTGTAATACACTGTAAATCACAGATTCTATATTTTTTTTCTTCAGATTAATCAACATGTACATATGTCGTTTCACATTTGTAAATTAGTTCAGGAGCAATTTCATTTCTAAAATATTCATGATACAGTGAATCTACTATCCTTTGAATGACAACATATTAAACATTCTACAGTATCTATATAACGTGTTGGCTTCTGAATTCTCTATTGCCCATAGGCTTAATACAGAGACCATCACTTCCCATAGGCAATGGGTTAGGGTACTAATAAATTTTGAAGATGTATGTTGTTAAATCATACTTACTTGCCATCTTCTGATATGGTCATGTCAGAGACAATGTCGTTATGTTCTACAAGCTGTTTGTTTGACAGGCAGCTGGGTATGTCGATGATGTAGATGGTTGTATCGAACGACCCCGCCCATACCTGCTCTCCTCTCACACTCAGCAGGCAGCACTGTTACACATAAAGAGAAATATATGAATGATACATAATTACTAGTAAAACAAATGAAGGGTTTGATTATAAAATGCAGCTATTCGGCCATTACAAATACCAGAATTTATAAAATGAAGAGTTTTAATAATTCATTTTAATAGTACAGGCTAGATTGATGATAAAAGGAACTTTACCCAATTTTCATTTGAAAGTAAAATTATTTGAATTCCAACTAAGCTTGCTCATTACGTTCTTCCCTCTTTGAAGGTTATAAATGATATCAAAATAGTTGATGTGACTTTTGAACAAAAAGAATGTTTGTAGATGTTTCATTTTAACTTTTGTTATTGTATATATGCATATAAATTGACTTTAAAAAAAAATTAAAAATGTGGAAATGAAACTTGAACTTGAACTTGAACTACTAACAATGAACATTTAATCATGACATCAACCTCCACAGTGTATAGGTGTATTCAACTTCAGCAACAAAGACCTTTAAAAAAAGGCGAGAAGAACAAAAAAATTACCACTCTGTCCTTGGCATCAGCAAACTCCGCCTCCAGCACGAAGTTGCTCCCGTCGAAGACCTTGACCTTGCCTGACCCCATGGCGCACCAGAGTTTGGGCGTGGCCTCCTCCTCGCTCATACTCCGGTCTGAAAAGACAGAGGCTGAGGGATGTACAGAGGGGTATAGTAGGGGGTAAGTTCTGATGTGTGTGCCGTCGGTGGGGGCAGCATGCATCAGGGGATATTGATGCTGACATACAAGGCCTCTCTTGATTAAAGGTATTATCTATTCTAATAGCACTGATCCGGAGAATTCATGAATTATTATTGTAGTGTAATTACATTTTTGGTAAAAATTTTCTGAGTTATTACACGGTTAGAATAAATTCCACACGGCAGCATACTTACCTGACCCAGCACAAAGAAATATCTAGCTGAAATTCCTCATAAACTAAAATACACAAACAAAACTATTTCACTATTCACTTCAAGGACCTTAGAGGATGATAAACCGTGCATTGTGTGGTGAAAAAGAAATATCTAACCTGTTGAATTATGTGCATTTTGAAAACAGTGTGGTCACAAACAAAGGAAAATCGCTAATCATGCATAGCTTTTCTAGAAAATGGTATTACTATGAGTTTTTAGATTAAAAAAGAAAGATATAAAAGAAACCCAAAGAACCATGCAGACATCAAGCTGAGTGGACTTACTGCCCGGTGTGTAAACCATAGCCTCCACTGTAGTCCTCTGCGCCTCGTTACTGGATGGGTTAAACTTGTGAACCAAAGCTGAGCTTGTCTCTGGTGGAACCCGTCCCATGCCCTCCTCTCTCAACCGTGAGAAGTGACACAGATGCTGAAATACAAAAGGAAAGAAAAAGAAAATTTTGTTGGAAAAAGTCAGTAATTGGATGATCATAGTCTCTACCATACTTCATTGTGTATTGCTATAGCGCCATAATGGCCGCCTTGCTAAAGCCAGGGTAATAATCGGGCAGTGCCAGGAGCGTCACGACCTGGCGGACATGTGCGCTATATAAGAAGCCATTATTATTTTTTTAAATGTGCCCCACGCCTTCCTCTCTCAGTCACAAGTGACAGAGATGCTGAAATAAGAAATTTTACCAGATTTTGAAATGAAGACTGCTTGAAGGAAAGGTCATGCTCTTCCACTTTGTTAGACACACAAAAACGTTACATCAGAGTTCATCATTACAAAATTTGATGTTACTGAAACAAATTATAGACAGTTTCTTTCAGGCCATTCATGTGCCACATTTGAAAGTGGTACTCAAACAATTTGTGGTGTTTTAATGTAACAAAAGTTGAGGGACATAAAATGGCACAAAGCAACTTTTGCTGAGCATAGAGAGATTTATAAATATACCTTGTAAATATGTTCAATATCTTAATAATAAAATGGTAATAAATTTAGTTTGTTTGATTGTTTTACCCGACTGCTAAGAAAGCATGACGGCTTTGAGTCTCTGAGGGACTTAATAATGGGGATTAATGCCTTACCAAAGGGCACTGGTGCATTGATTTGGTTTTGAACCCAGGACCTCCTGTTTACGAGATCACAGCTCTATCACTGAGCGATCGAACCTCCCTTAATTGTTAATAAGAATTGAATACAGGACCCTTGTCTAATACCTACCCATACAGCACTATCTAGATGCTTTGCGTGTGTTGCATCCTCATTCTCTGCACTCCGTATGACCGAGTCTATCAGCTTCACATTCCTTGCGGCTTGCTGCACCACCTGAGGATCCTTCTGAGCGTCGGCAATGACACGCCCGGCCCACAGCTCAGTGATCAGTGTGAACCAACTGTTACGCTCTGCCTTCAAATTGGCAACGTATGGACTGGTATTGGGCTCTGGGAAGGAAATATGGAGTTAATATACACAAGAGTGGTCAAATGAGTGCTTGATGTCACAGCTCAGTGATCAGTGTGAACCAGCTCTAACGCTCTGCCCTCAAATTGGCAACGTATGGACTCGTATTGAGCTCTGGTAAAGAAATATAGAGTAAATATACACAAGAGTGATCAAATGAGTGCTTGATGTAATGTCGTAACATTGTATACAATGTTTGTGTACATTATACACATTTCCATGTTGCAAAACACAATCAGGCAAACAATACTGTGCAAAAATATGATAAAAGCATAAAGGAAAAGTAAAAATGGCTTGTACATTTTGTTACTACTTAATTAATGAATTGTATATTTGTAATAAAACTAGCTACCTCTTGCATGTTATATGACAAATGAAAGATTTTGCCAAACTGTTTATCATACATCTAAAACTGAACGCATGTGGGAATTCAAAAATTAGCTGGTAATCAGATACAACCTGCATTGTATAAGCTAAAGAGTACATTGTCTATCCACCATGTAAACGACGTACAGAATGAGGTGACAAAACACCGACTGGATCTATGACACATTCTCCGGGGACCATTGCTCTGCGGTCAAGTTACATAACATGCTGAGGTTAGTGTTACTTACTGGTGCTGTATATCCTAAGGGCTTGGCAGCTGAGGAGGATGTTAAAGTATTCAAACTTCTCTAACTTCTCAATGTCTCTGGCTCTCACAATCTCCTTGTAGATATTGCTGCCTTCGCCCATGTAGAAGAGCCTAGTAAATAAGGAAAATATGAAATTTATACAGGATACATCTTGCAGGAAATTTGCATTTCAGAGAATGCAAAGACATGCAGTTATACCTAAGGAGTGACAAAGGGAAAGACGGGTAAAAAAACATCCTTCACATCCACATATCTTAGTTTAAATTGCAGGAATATTCTGATATGATTGTATATAATCACAGACAAAAACCTGTCTTTCTAAACAAATTGACATTTTCCACTTTCACTTAAAAGATTTGGCGAGGAATGTCAATTCAACAGTGCCATTAAACTGTGTAAAATAAAGGGAAAGGTGTGTGTGCACAGAAAAGTGGCTGCGGTGCTATGAAATTAGGCAGAGACAGATTTAAGCAAGCAGTACATGTAATTTTAATGTGGTATTCCATACAGAAAATTACACTAAAAATCATCAGAAGCTAAGGGCAAACCATTTACTTATCAGGCACTTGTTATATATGATATGAGTAGAATGATATGACATGATATTCAAACATTGCAATTTTCCTTGTCACAGCCATAACTAAAATTATCTCCAAATGACTGTACCTCTTCTCAGTCAGGACCAATCTTCCCATGCCATGATCTGTTCTGATTAAGGAAGACATCTTGAGAACACTCTCAGTGCTCTCCAAGTATTCCTTGTAGATACTGAGTGGTATGGACTTTGTCTCCTCTAACCCTTCCTTCCATGCCTCATAGAAATAGATGAAAGTCTCGGCATCAAGGACTACAGAAACAAGAGAATTGATAAAATGATGGTACTGAACACCTTTAACATCAACTTCATGAAGAAATAATGAGATTTGCAAAAGTTTCATGCCACAAAATTGACTGAATCTGAACACTAGAATTTGCTATTTGCAATGTAGGTTTCTTGCCGTGAAAGTGTCTGGTTATGACAAAATAAGTAGCAAGAGACTAAGTTAAATAAAAGTAAATTTTGCATGTGACACTATTAGATTGGTTCTCACTTCTTCAAAACAAAGGTGACAGCTTTGTGAAATATATAATGGAGCATATATACCTCGTAGTAACTTCTCAACAATAGTGCAAAACTACATTTGAAGAGAATAGGCTAATATCTATATATATTTGCATTACTACTCACAGTTGGATCCTGCTGATAAAGCATTGAACAGCCTGTCAATCACATCTACATCAATGGCTATCTCTAAGTACTGCATCCAGTGGATAAACTCTCTCAAACCTAGGGTAGAAAACAACACAAATTAAAACAATGTTTAAAGGACAGCAAGCAATGGATAAACTCCCTCAACTTGGAAAAAAACAAATACCGTACCAAACAATACAAATTGAAATAATCTCCCTCAAACCTAGAGCCTAACAATTATTTATATTGAAATAATTTGGAAATACTGCATGCAGTGGATAAACTCTCTCAAACCTAGAAATCTGAATACTATATACTGTTAAATCAGAAACTTTTGTGGGCAAGAAATGTCTAAGATCTTTGCCATGAAAAAATAATTGAATCACAATTCACACAACACTGAATTTGTGTAATTCGCTAATAGTTACATGCCTTCAAAGTTTTTGATTTTGCAGTAATACAAAATGAAATAGGTAAACTCCCTCAGTCCTTGAATATGAAAAAATATCACAAGAAATGTCCTTGCTGTGACATCTATTATAGGCTAGGCAGAAACATGTCTCAAGTCTAAATGTGTAGTAACAACAAATATATTTCAACTGGTTTTAGGACGGTACCGTATGAAAACCTAGGGTGCTGTAGTAAGCAAGTGCACCAGGTTTCATATTGCAGAATGTGTAATATTGACATTTTGTATTCATATTTTGGCTGATTGAAAATATAAAGACAGAGCATGGTGGGTATTTCCATGCTTACCTAGTTCCCCTTTCTCAGGCAGGTCATCTGGTTGGATACTGGGCATGGCAGTGATCTGAGGTGCGGCACGGCGCTCACTGATCTTCCGTAGGATCTCTCCTCTCTTGTAGAATTCTCTTCTGTGGAGGAGATCCTTGTCTTCTGCACTCAAGTTGTTCATCAGCTCAGTGATCAGGCTGCACAGAAAGTATTTACAAAGATACTCCACAATGGTCAAGTAGGTAATACACTTATAATCACATTCACATTGCCCTATATGGAATTGAGTTAGAAGTGACATTAGTCCATTGAGAATATCATTACATCATAAGCATTATAATTTTAAAGAAGTGCTCATGTGTGAACACTTTAAATCAGTCAGTGTAAATAGATTCTAGGTTCATTCATGCAAAATTTAAACCTGCGATTGGCAAGACAATAATCTCTCCAGAAATGTGCACAGCACAAGACAATTGAGAGAGAAAAATAACGTGATTTTGAAGAGAATTAAAGTAATTCAAGGCACAATTATGATTAGTTATGAATCCTACCATTGAGTGAACTGTAGAAACAGAAAACTTTTTTTTAATCCAACAGAAATTGTTCACATCAATCTTGTACCAAGAACTCCATCTTTCTACAATCTATATCTATGATATCTACAAGCAAATTTGCCAATAGTTCATGAGAATGTCTAAAAACAAAATGTTATTAATCTGCAATAAACTCACTTAGTAGGAAGGATAGACAGGTCTGCTTTGTGTAGATTATGGAAGTCATCTAGTGCATCGAGAGGGCAGTTACATGCTACATGAAACATCCCTCTTAGATACAGGTAGGAAGCCTTGAGAGCTGGCTGTCTACAGCTCTGTAGAACAATACATAAGAAAGAAAAAAAGATTGTTACGCTAAAACTCTTTACAATCCTCTCTACAATTGTTTAAAGGTATTGATTGAAATCAAAAATATCTCAGGAAATAAAAGATTTCATGTTAAAGATAAACTTGAGTTCTGGTAAAAAAAGAGAAAATGAATTCTCACAGAATCAAATGAAACTTACACTGAATGTTCAAGATTACAATAAATGTCATCTGCCAAACAATGTTGGTAGAAAATGTATACTGGCTGAGTAATGAGCATAGCAAGATAAGGAAATCAAGGTTAGTAGCCCCGACACCATTTGTGCAGTCCCATATACATCTTTCTGTGTACAGTGCTTGTTACTTTACCAAGACTGGGCGAAATCTATTATGATTTTGATGATTCCAGAACCTTGCAGTACACGCAAATACTTATATGCTACATGGTCAACTTCTTTTGATCCATTCCACACCATTTCTTTCACAATGCAATCGCATGACAAGAACTCAACTTTATCTTTAAGAGGAGCATACTAAGAAATACTCTACAGTGTACTTTGAGAAGATGAGAATTGGTGCGATGATTTTGTCAATTACTGAAAAATGAATTACGCTTTATAACTGGAAATACTTCTCATTGTCAATGTATATCCCAAATTAAAAGAGGAATTTGAACACCAGTATTCTATACATGTTAAGCTTGAACAGTGATCGCTCATGGGAAGACACTTAAAAGGTACCGGTAGGCATGTAATAAGTTATAAATTGCAGTAAGCTGCTTGATGTTTCAATGTGATGGACAAAACAAAGGGTGCTGAAACTTTATACAAATTTGGTTGCCATGATTACCTGTATTAAATAGATTCAACAAAATGTTCGCTATCATAGACACATGGGGTTTCTTAACTTTTCTGTTACACACATGAAACATTACACCACTATTATAGCTCTCGGTAAAAGTATAAAGCAGAAAATTTGTCAAGGATTTTCTTAGGTTTAACTAAGATTTGTGAGGGGTTTAAAGTATTCAGGACTACTCCTTACCTCAATGGAATGGTCCAGCTGCTCAATACATTTGGTGAAGAAATGTTGGGCTGCATAAAGATTTCAGAATAAAATATGCATATAGGTTTTTTATATACAGTGCGTCCCAGAAAAAACGAAACCGAGAATTATCGATGTTTTATCATAACTTAATCACATTTATAATTGATAAATGACACATATTTGGAAAGCTTAGATCCTCCTCTTTCATTTGATGCAACTCACGTGATGCATATTTTATGCATGAGTGATTAAAATGTATTTGAAGAGAGGAAACCAAAAAGTCATTTGGCGGACGGTATCTGAATTTCAAGGAGAAAATCACATTTCTAGAAAATTAAGTTTCTGCCCTTTCATATGACACCCCAATCAGGAAAAATGAGCGAGGAATAAAAAAGTTCTGTTTGTTTAAAATAGTGCTTGCATTTCATAATTTTATCAAACAAATTTGTTTTCACTGGGTGCCTGCAGAAGCAATAAACAGAGTTGACAACAGACTTAACTTCGTTTCGTTGACAATCAGCCATGCATGAAGTCTTTCGTTTACGGCTGATTGTCAACGAAATGGAGTTAAGTCTTTTGTCAACTCTGTTTGTTGCTACGGCAGGCACCCAGTGAAAACGAATTCGTTTGATAAAATTATGGAAATGCAAGCACTACTTTAAACCAACAGAACTTTGTCATTCCTCGCTCATTTTTCCTGATTGAGGTGTCATATGAAAGGGCAGAACCTCAACTTTCTAGAAATGTGATTTTCTTTTTGAAATTCAGATACTGTCCGCCAAATGACTTTTTGGTTTCCTCTCTTCAAATTCATTTTAATCACTCATGCATGAAATATGCATCATATGAGTTGCATCAAATGAAAGAGGATCTAAACTTTCCAAATATGTGTCATTTAGTAATTATAAATGTGACTAAGTTATAATAAAACATCGATAATTCTCGGTTTCGTTTTTTCTGGGACGCACTGTATAGTAATCCAAAATACATTTTATGATAGATAAGACATTGAAGTAGAAAGGCATATGACTGTATACAGTTTACGTGAGAGAAAACTGAATGTAGTTTCTGAATGTTTGGTAAACTTACAACAGAGCAAGATTTAAATCTTTGAAGAATTTTTTTTTTATCTGTATACCAATCACCAATACCAATCACCATCTGCAAGTCTGCAATACCAGCAGCACCATCCAAGAGCTTTAACCCTGCTTCCATTCAGCTCCCAGCAGCTTCTTGACTGATAACACGCTGTACCTTAACCACTCTGCTTCCCAGCGATCCCTTCATCTATACTACAAACAGCACAGCTGTCTAAATCATTGAGTGCGTTTCTCTCACCTAGTTCTTTTCAGGACTCGGACTGAACATACTCCTATAGATACCAAACAGACCCTTTTAAAGCCCAACGGCACAATGTTATTGTAAACTGCGAAAATTTATTGGTGTGACAACTTGTGTCTTTCTAACTACATAAGAATAGGAGAAAATGCAGAAGAGGGCTCAGAAAGTTGTTTCTAAAATACAATTTCTATTGCTCTGTAGGATAGATATACTTTAGAACAGCAGAAGAATTTGAAGGCATATGAAAAGTATATTTTGAAATAAGCAAGAGCTTTCAATGCTAGGTCATACTTGTTTTAATTTACTCAAATGTACAATTTTTTTATCAATTTGGCCTGTGGCCACAACAATGATTTTAATAAATTTACTCAACTCTCTCTCTCTCTCTTACCTCTCTCTCTCTCTCTCTGTATATCTCTTTCCTATCTATCACACCCTCTCTCTCCCCTGCCCTATTTTTCTGTAATTTTATTCATACATCTAGGTAAAACAAAAAAATCTGTTTGTCAAACTAAAGTTAAAAAAAGGTCCCCCAAAAGTTAAAAGTTTTCCTATATTGACATGGAAAAGACTATAAACAGTCAATAATTTGTTGGGAGCCGGAAGTGTCTTAACTCAAACTAATCTACGCTCCCTTGGCTCTGACAATAACTGACAATATATGTGTATAAAATGAGTATGAATCAGTGAAAATCATTAAAATGTCATGAAAATATGGAACGCAATTTAAGGTAATGAAATGAAGCTGTATACTATGAAGGAATATAAAATGCTTCAAAATGAGCAAGTTTACAACCACGGCAAAAGTCTATGCTACCATGGAGACTACAAGTATGTGTATATCATGTGATACTTGAAGATAGTTTGCCAAATCTACTATTGTAGATGTCAGCAGGGAAAAGAAGAGACTTTCACGCGAATATACTTGGACAGAATCAATCCAATAATTCATATATAGTGCTGGCAATGATGCAAGAAAAGAAGAGACTTTCACACAAATACACTTGGACAGAATCAATCCAATAATTCATATATAGTGCTGGCAATGATGCAAGAGAAGGAATCATCAAGTATTTTGAGAAATGAAATAGCCACTCCTCCAGCTTTGGATGACAGACCTGATTTTTCTGACGGAAACTCTACTGTTTTGATGCCTTCATCATTTTCATTATCTGTTGAGGAAATATCGATAATACACATGCACAACTACAGCAATCAGCATTTTCATTCAAATTCTATATCAATCCTTGAGAAAGTTTTTTGCATAAATCAAGGCAGTACTGTCTATCAATCAATCTAAGGCTCAACACTAATATATAGCTCTATATCAAAATGCCTCCCCAAAAGAAAGTAAGATCAAAGTAATACGATATTAAAGTCATTCAGCGTGTCAAATGAGCTTTATTAGAAAAACTGCCTTATTTAAAAATGTATAATAATAATAATAATATTGGGTTCTTGTATAGTGCTCAACACTGTCAGACTTGACCCTCCCGATTATTACCCTGGCTTTAGCACTGCTGCCATTACGGCGCTGGTTGAGTGTGGCAAATGTAGATCAATGTCTTACCAAAGGACATTGGTGCCACGGCGGGACTCGAACCACGGACCTTGTGATCGACAGTCCGCTGAGGTATCCACTCGACCACAACACCTCTACTCAAATACCATTGATGAACTTCATAGTAATTTTTAGTTACCATAACACATTGGGTTTATTTTGTATTACAGTCCAAAAGACAGTAAAAAGTAACATTCATTTTAAAAATCCCATTTCCCAATTCCTGTCTGTTGCATGAAGGTGAATAAAAAATAAAAAATAAAAAAAAATAAAAAATAAAAAAAAAAAATAAAAATGAAACAAATAGCTTTTCACAGACCAGACATTTATGAATTACCTGAAGTGTATGGGATATGAAAGAGAGGCAGCATGAACTGCGCAGTCTGATCAGATGAACTTTGACCTGTGTCGCTGAAACTCCTTCCATCGGATACTCTGCGTCGTCTCAAATCAGGCACAGCCTGTCCTGTACTCTGCTGCTTACGAAGTCTACAAATGACAGAAGAAAACAAAATTGATGGTGTTGTGTTTAGGTGTAACAGATAGAGAAACAGGCAGTAATATTTCAATGAAAGCAAAGTAATATTTCTCAGGGATGGCATCGGGTGTACTGAAGTCTAATCTGTCTAGGATTTTAGAGGGGGAAGGGCAAATTGGGATTTAATAGACCACTATAAGGTCTCACATCTAGAAAGCTTGATCAATGAAAATACTTTATATTGATTTTGTACCTTTGAGTGTTGATATATACAGTTATATACAGTTGTTGAAAAAAAACCAATATACTATTGAATGCAGACTACTATTGTGATTTATGGAAATTTGATGTGTTTTTTTAGATATAAAAAAGCATAGTAAATTGTATCCTTTCTTGTAAAGTAAACCGATTCTAATAAGTTCTTAAGGTATTTTTGTTTTCCACTTTTTCAACTATGTGATTCACTGTTATTCTATCATCACCTACATTGCTTCAAAATTTGAATATTCATATTTAAGGTCATTACCAAGTAAAAATTATACGCTTTGGACTTGATAGAGTACCGAAATGCTAACATCAAATTTGCTCGTCGTCCAGGTTACTGGTTAAACAACTGGTTAAACAACAGAGCCTGCACATGAGGTTCACTGATAAATCACTCAAGCAACGGGCTGGAGCAGGGCAAATTCAGTGTCTGGGACTTGTGTGACCACCACACCATTGTTTAGCACAAAATTGTTTAGAAACCAGCAACCTTGGCCAGTATGACGTCCCACTTCGGTACTCTATGGGAAGTGTTTCAGAGCATTATACACAAATCAGTCATTAAAGGGATTGGGTAACTTTGTCTCAGATTCTGAAACAAAATTCTGGATACAGCTCATGCTGCAATGATAATTATAAATCTTTAGGTCAGTCAGGAACCCCATGAAATTTACAAGCCGATGGCCTTTCTGATTATCAAGATATTTATGATTGGAAATTGAAATTTAGAAATTTGTTTTCCTAACGGTTTTCATAACACTACAGTCTATTGGGGAAAATGAGTATGGTAAAACCGGTCACTCAAAGATTTTTACTTTTTTGATCATTTCTAAGACACTGATAACATGTACATGTAGGGCCATGCATCTCAGATTTAACATTGTTAAACGATGCCTTTAAGAATGGCCCTGTTAGTGACCATACGTACCTGCCCTGGTCCACGACGCTGGACACATTGAGACTCGGTGGACGGATCTTCTTCTCCATCTGGGCGTAGTAGTCCTTCTTCTGGTCCAGACGGTCCTCCCGGAATGGCTTGAACATGTGGGAGTGGACCATCTCGGCATAGAAGTCCTTCTCTTCCTCCGCCCGGGAGGAAACAAACTCCTCCAGTTTGAACCATCGCTGATCCATGCTCATGAACTCTGGAAGCTCCCTGGTTGATATTTCACATCATAAATTGATCAATGAAAGAACATTTAAAAGGAAACTAAATGCTTCTCATCATTATTATCTTCAATAGTAACTTTATGATATCATTACTACGAGTCAAGAAGATTTTGTGAAGCAGATAGAAAGCTCTGAAAAAATAATGGTTAGATTACAATGTCAATTTTTGCAATTTTTAGTTTCATGCCGAGAACAGATCTTTGTTAATTTAGAGAGTTTCATTTCACAAAGGCTTCTGAACTTCTGAACCAGTCTATATTAAAAAAGAACAGTCACTATTCTGAATGCTCAAATGATACTGAAATGATTATTGTTTAGCATAGGAAGGGTAAGCCTGTGTCAATGAGCCTGTTTTCTAAAATGATGCAAAACTTAACCAAAATTTATCACAAAGAAAATAATTAAAATTTCCCAATCTACAATCCTGTGTGAGAGGAACAACATGAATTTATACTGAACAGATAATTTATTATGGTAAACATTATCTGTCTCCTTCATTTCATAACTAATATTATGTGCCTGTGTGAAGGGTGCATTGTCCAGCTATTGGATGCATATTTCTGAAAATTTGCATTAAAAATAAAATCTCATGCCGGTTCTGACCTTTGTTTGAATACATCTATCAAACACATTTTATTCCACACATTGTGTTAATTTTTAACAGTGATTAGATTTACCGTAATTAACGGTGTTTTAACCACACTTTTTTGCCGCCAAAAAAAATCCAAGTCGGTGGTGCGTCTTATACCCTCCATCTGGCGCTATACCTGGCAATGTCTCCCAGCTCAGTAATCAGTGTTTTGACTCACCACTCGGAAACTAGAACAACATTCAAATTTGTCTGTCATCTTGGTTTGAAAGTAATCTTTCTGATAGATCTCAATATGTAGTTTATAATAATAATTCCTCCAATTTTTCTTCTATTGAACAACGTACCACAAGGTTCTATCCTAGGTCCTCTACTGTTTTTTAATTTACATGAATGATCTTACACATTCAGCTGCACCTCGCAGTTATATGAAAGGCCTTCCCGGGGCCTTTTCACAAATCAATGGGTGGGTTTTTGAACACGGACCTGGCTTTTTTTTTCTTTTTTTTTTAGGGCGAAAAAGAGGGGTGCGGTTAATACACGAGGGCGGTGTATACACTGTTAATTACGGTACCTTCTTCTCTAACTCTACCTTTGTTACAAAACTTAAAACAAACAAAACATGTAGATTTACACCACTATTTGTGTTCATTATGTATTACAAAAGTGATATCTCACCATTAAACTTTAGCATGACTTTGTATAATCTAATTTCCAATGATGGATTGTCCCTTAAAAGAGGTTGTCGAACGAGATAAATCACGTACTTAACCCTCATACCTCAAACTCTTTCAATTGCACAAGTCCTAAAGCTCAAATTCAATTGGCTTTTCTATGAAACTGAATGAATAAACAGACATTAAGTGGGATATTTACTTGATTTTAAAAGTGCCTGTTTCTATTTCACTGTTAAGTCAGATCATTAAGAATACTCAATAAATCAAATTTTAGTCACCATAACTTGCTCTTTCGGCTTCTACCTGTGCTTATTCAATTTCAAGGTCAATACATGTCACTACACGTTATGATTACCCCAACCAATAAAAGTTATTTTGTTTTTATAGTTATTTTATTACCTAAATACCAACCTTCAATTTAGTTTTCTATACCTACTCAATTTCAAGGTCAATACATGTCACTACATGTTATGATTACCCCAACCAATAAAAGTTATATTGTTTGTGCGATCATCGTTGTTTGTATTATCATCATTTTGTTTATTACCTGAATATGTGGACAAACATCTCCAGAAAGCTATCAAGGATCTCCTGCTGAAACTGTCTGTCTATCTTCTGTCGTCTTGCTCTCTCCATCTCCAGCGTGGCAGGGACAGTCCGACCCAGTGTGGAGAGCTCGTAGTACTTCACGCGTGCATGGTAGAACCTTCATTTATACATGAGAGAGAGAGAGATGGAGAGAGAGGGAGGAAGGGAGAGAGAGAGAGAGAACGAGAGAGCAAGAGAAAGAGAGAGCAAGAGAGAGAGAGAGCAAGAGAAAAATAAAGAGAGGGCAAGAGAAAGAGAAAGGGAAAGAGAAAGCAGGAGAAAGAGAGAGCAAGAGAGTGCAAATGAAAGAAAAAGAGAGTGCAAAAGAAAGAAAAAGAGAGCGCAAAAGAAAGAAAAAGAGAGAGCAAGATAAAGGTAAAGAGAGAGCAAGAGAAAGAGAAAGGGAGAGCAAGATAGAGAGGGAGAAAGCAAGAGAAAGAGAAAAAAAGAGAGAGCAATAAAAGGAGAGAGAGAGCAAGATAAAAAGAAAGAGAGAGAGAGAGCAAGAGAAGGGGAAAGAGAGAGAATGAGAGTGCAAGATAAAGGGAAAGAGAGAGCGAGAGAGAGAGAGCAAGAGAGTAAGCAATAGGAGAAAGAGAGGGCAAGAGAAAGAGAGAGAGAGAGAGAGAGAGAAAGAGAGAAGGTAGAGACAGACAAACAAATGAAAGATGAAGATGTTTACTGTAAAGGCACTGTGTAAAAGGCAAGAGTCAAAATGATAAGGAATATCTGATGGTTGTGGTCTTAAGATATGGACAAATCAACAAGCCTTTCCTGGAAAACAACAGCCATAATTTCGAATGGGAATACAAATACATAGTGCAATAAAGATAATGTCATATCATGTCTTATTTGTATAACACTCCACTTTAGGGCAATGTTTGCTCCAATCTATGTTTGTGAGAATCTTGCTATTTGTCACATAGAACAGAAGAAATGTGATGATTGCTTTGCCGTTAGAGGGGGAGTGCATCCCCCAAATACATGAACAAAAACAAATTCACAGAGCCAGACACAGACAAAATAGAAACAGTCAGCCAGGGATAGCATAATAGAGACCTACATAAAACAGATAGAGCTATAAAGAACTTAAAACATTAGAGTACCGGAATACAGTGCAGAGTAAACACAATATTAAAGTGGTATTCTATAAGTCATTTACTATCATTCAAAATAAGAGTGGACTTTATTCATGATTATATAGATAATGTTTCTTTGTTTATCCAAACCAGCATAACATAAACAATGGCACAAGGAAATCAATTCAATACAAATGAATATTACTCTTTGTTATAGTACATGAATTAATGCCCTTCTGGCTGTGAATCGATAATATGACTTACTGCTTTTTGAATCCTTCTGCTGGTGCTTTAGGCAGACTTGGAACAGACAACGTAGGACATTCATGGAGAGTGCCTTTCTCTATGTCAGCTATAACAAGTCCTTCAATCTATAAGAGAGAGGGGAAATTAGCTGTTGAATAGTGTCCTCTATGCTTTGAAGAGCACTATAATCTGTTATTGCTGGATAATAATTATAAAAATATTATTATACAAGATACATGAGTCAATGTTTCAACTGCCCAAACTTACATAGCTATTACAAATGACTGTTCATTGTATTTTTTCCATTGTATATTTATCGTTTTGTTGTAGTTGTAAATGTTTAATTATGTGTATTATTTTTTCGCCTTGTACTGTCATGTGTATTCCTACCATCCCCCCCCCCCCTCTCTCTCCACTCATCTGTCAATCCATTCCTTCTATCTGTCAGTCCTACCCATTGTATCCTGCTTCTATGTGTGCTATATGGCAGCCCATGATGAAGCACCCTGGAGCCTCTTATGCATCAACATGTATCTACCACTCTGTTCTTCAACTATTTCATACCATCTCTCTCTCACACTCTCCATTCATCTATCAATCCATTCCTACTATCTGTCAATCCTACCTGTTTCTGTGTGTGCTATGGCAGCCCATGATGAGGCATCCTAGAGCCTCCTATGAATCTACATGTATCTAACACTGTGTTCTTCAACTATTATGTTCATTCCTTCCATCTCTCTCTCACTCTCCATTCATCTATCAATCCATTCCTGCTATCTGTCAATCGAACCTGTTGTATCCTGCTTCTACATGTATGTGAGCTATGGCAGCCCAATATAAAGCATCCAGGAGCCTCTTACACTGTTTCTTCCTACCATACCTCTCACTCTCTCTCTCTCTTGCTCTATCTCTTGCTCTATCTCTTGCTCTCTCTTGCTCTCTCTCTCTCTCTCTCTCTCTCTCTCCCCCCCTCTCCATTCCTACTATCTGTCCATCGTACCTGCTGTATCCTGCTTCTATGTGAGCTATGGCAGCCCATGATGAAGCACCCTGGAGCCTCAAGCAGGTCAAGAAGCTGAGTGCAGACCACCGGAACGTAGACAAACGGCCACTTGAAGGGCAGGATGTAGGAGAAGAAACACTACACGCAAGATAGGAAAAGATATAATGAAGGTTATTTGAGAAGAACAAAACTTGACCTGCAAAAGCACAACATCATTTTGATAGTCACAAGTTAATATGGATTTTTAAAGGCTTAATTATGTTTAGATAAATGGGGCACAATAAAATTTAAATACCTTATATACCATCTATTATATTGGGGGGGGGGATAAATAATTATGAAGATGGAAAAGCTTTTCAAAAATAATGGGAGAACAGTTGAATTCTCTCTTCAAAGCATCATTTGCGTTTACCATTCTGAATTAACGCTTTATATTTAGGACACAACTCTGTCTTATTAAAATCAGCTGTTAGAGAATTTATACACATGTATTTACAAAAAAGAAATACTTACTTGAAATATAGGAAAGTACAGACACATGACATACACCATCAAACTCTTTTGAGCTGACTTAGAATATAGTATGGGAATATATTATGCTACACAACTCTGATTACAGTTTGAGTAACATGAAGGGCATACAGAACATACCTCAAAGTCTATATTACACTTGATATTGTACACTACATGAACAACTGGGAATATATGCCTTAATAGCCTGACCCTAGTCAAATCTGGATTAGGGACATCAATGAAAAGCATCACACAAACCTCAATAATTGGGACCAAGAGAGAGTAATCATGTGAGAGGAAGATGAGCCTCTGCTGGGTCAGGATGGCTGAGATGATCTTGAGGATGTCGTCCAAGGAGAAGCAGAGGAACGGGAGATGGAGAGAGATGTTGACCACCGGCTTCTCAGGATCGTCTGGGGGAGGGATGCTGATGGTGAACTCATTCAACATCAGGGACTAATAGGAAGACAAAGCGAAAATGATATGAATTAATTATGAGAGTTGAAGAAAAAAAATCTTACACCAATCTCAAAAGGCAACAGCATTAGAGCAACAAATGAGTTCTCGGACACATGCCAGAACGACTTGCTCTCGATACCCTACACTAACCAAATACCAAACTTCAAGCGGGGATAAAATAATATAATATGATATCTCACTTTAACTGTAAATCTAACCTAAAAACCAATTGCATCTACAGTCCTAAGTCCTAATCCTAACAATATATATATTTGATAAAATAAAGCATGGAGCAAATTTGTCTCTTCTTTTCTCTGTAGTACTGGTATTCATTTTAGAATAATTTCCCTCACTCCTCTATGATTAAAATGTTCTCTCTCTCTCTATCTTTCCCTCTTTCTCTCTCTTTCCCTCTTTCTCTCATGCACTCATTGTTCTCTCTCTCTCTCTCTCTATCTCTATTTCTCTCCCTCCATCTCTCTCTTCTCCCTTCCTCTGTGTTGCATAGCAACATCCCTAGGATGATTAATCTTATGTATGTACTGACTTGAACTATGTTATGTTTTCAAATTTTTAAGATTAATGTATATTTTTATAAACTCAAATGTGATTTTACTGCTATTTTATTGTGAATCAAAATGCAATTCAGCTTTCTGGCTGCTATGTATCATTTTTGATAAACCGTTTTTACTTCAATTGAAGTCATACTTCCAGTATATATATATTTTTTTTATAAGCATTTATTTCATAATCAAAATAGACGGTGGTACAAATACATCAAAATTGTACAGACGTATATCACAAATATTAGTTAAATGGATATGAATTAGATATAAGCCTTGTTTTTATCATATGAGAATGATGTGGTTTATGTGGAGTATATTGATGACAGAGGGTTGTGGACTAGAGTCGGTGAGAGAGAGAGAGAGAGAGAGAGAGAGAGAAAGAGAGTTATGTATTTTGCAGCATTTTTAGGAAGAAATAGCTGCCTTTCAAGTTTCAATTCATCATACCCACCTCTCTTGCTGGAAACCTTTATAATGTGTAATTCTTTCATGGTATTGTGATTATTCTATTCTGCAGCAATGTGAGGGAATTCTTTTTATATATTATACATAACGTTAGGACATAATAGGACAGTACAGAATAGCCTACATTTTGTCTTGTGTGTATGTTGTATTTAGAGACCATAGTTGATGTTTTTATAGGTTTTCTTAAAAAGCAATATCAGTCATTTTTAGTAGAGCCTTAAATCAGTTTCTTTGCTTCCAAAATTGGCTCTACTACTGCAGAACTTGCGTTGAGAGGATAAAATACTTTCTTTCATTTTTTGGAACCATGCCCATTCCTCCTGGGCTTGATGCCAGTGAAAAGGTGTTGTTTAGAGTTGCAAAGACTTTGTTTCCCCTAATGTGCCTTTCTTTCTCTTTCCTTTTCCTGTAATTAAGCAATTATATGATTATGTCATCATTTTCAAAACTGATGTTGATACTATTGGAAAAAATGTTGTTACATGTACTTGCATTTGTGAGTGACAATGTAGTGCAACTGTAGACTTGTATGGAGTGAAAGAAGCATATGGTGGATTAAACAGATTGAAAGGGTGTGTAAAAAGAATTTAAACGAATGAAAATAGTAAAAAAATAAAACGAGAGATGAAATAAAAATTAGATGCAATGAAATCGAGAATTATAAGGGTATGTGTGGAAGAACATGCATCATTTAATGCTGAATTGTGACTCGCTCACCAAGTTTTTAAACATATGCGTTGAATTGCTGCACAGCATACTCATTCAATATTTAATTTTGACTTTATCATGCAAGGCAGTGTAAGCATTCCATATCGCCCTAACTAGGCTGTCAGCTCCTAGCTAATGCTTGTGAATACCACGTCCTGTTGACTTCTTAATGATGTTTTTATCATGTTCGCCTGGGAACAGATGCCTTTACCAAGGTCTACTGAATCAGATATTAGACTCAAGACAACAGGCTTTTTCATGCACACAACATGGAAAGCCAAGATAGATCTACTTGCAATGTGTAGTATAAAGAGAAAGCTAGACTCTGTAACAGCCTTTTTCAGGTTGAAAAAATGATAATAAAAAGAACTTTGACCTGTCAAATCAAGGCTGCTGTTACATATTAGTCCCAATGAATGTGTCTTCCATGAACATTTGTTTTGAATCTTACAGCCTGTCTGGATAGAAATCTTATACAATATCTCTAGCCTGATTTTTCTATATTTTGGTAGCTACATGTATATATCAAGAAATACCTTGGCATAATACAAGCCCTTTGGTGAATGTATATTAAACTTATTATTGATTAAAGGAACATGTTTATGCATTTAGCAATGATTGTAGACCACAGGATCTGCATTCATTTAACAGCTTATTCAAAGGATTAGTTTGTGGCTGTACATTAGGATGTTGTGCCATCAATTTGGTGGATGTGTGAAAGAGACACACAGACAGACATACAAGAAAACATGGGTTCATACAAGCAACTTTGTACCCATATGCCAAGTAAAGTGGGAAGGGAGAGAGGGAGTGAAAGGAGTAAAAGAGAGAGAGAGAGAGAGAGAGAGAGAGAGAGAGAGAGAGAGTGCGATAACAAGACCTACATGTACATTCAATATTAATGATACTCACGATGTAAAGATTTCCAGCAGGAGGTGTAGGTATGATGAGGAGTTGTAAGGTAAACTCTTTGAGTAACGCATTCATCTTCTGAGGCTTGGCATACAGATCTGGGACCAGACTACAAGACAAGCAAGAAAGAACGTATGTAAGACTTAAGAGAAAGTATCAAACATATAGGAAGGGTCTGAAAATCAGACTATTACTTAGGTGATTACAATCACTTAAGTTTGATTTGACAACTAAGGGACCTTTCATTTTGAGGGAATTTCTAAATTAGTAATGTCTTTCTAACCTTATTTTGGCCTACAGACGGGAAATAGTACCTTTAAAACAAGATGACTGAAAACATTTCCCAAAAATTGCAAATAGCATGAAGTTATGAACACACTTGTAAAAAATAATATGCTCATTACCAGTATTTACAAAATCTGTCATTTAGAGATACTACTAATAGACCGCGGGCCATAGATCAAATATGTGGCTTATTTTTCATTTTCGTGCCTCAACTCTTGTATATACCTAAATTTTTGTTACTCAATAGAACAAAAATCATTGAATAACAATTGATAACTCGTCAGTGCAATAAGTTGCACATTAATTAATTATGCTAATTTAAAAAAGTTACAGCGCCCTCTTGTGTTCAAATCTTGAGATCTGTGTTGTGCTAATGGGTTCCACAGGATTTTATTGGACTTGGAGGTTTTGTTTCACCCAGGGAATAACACCCAAGTCTGTCTTGGAATGGTTGGTGTTATATTTTTCTTTATTTAAAGGTTAAGTCCATCCTAACAAATATTTTAGTTTAAATAAAGTCAGAAAAATGAAAGGAAGACGACAGTGAAAGTTTTCAGCAAGTTTTGAAAGTAAGCAAGTTATCAATTTTTGAAGGTGTGATTAATGAAACACAACTCGACAACTCCACAATGTAACTTTTTTCTGCTTCTATTCAGGATGGACTTCCCCCTTTGATTAAACAACAAACAAAAACAATCTTGAAAATAAATAGAGATAAATAAAGAGAGAGATTAATAGAGAGGGGAGAGAAGTGGAAAAAAGGGGGGGGGGGGTCAGGAGATAATGGGGACTTTGGTAGACTGTGGTACTTTTATTTATGTATTTATTCATTTTTGTTTTTATTTGTTTGGGGGGGGGGGGGGGATATCAATGTGTGCACATGAGGATGCACATCTTTTAATGAGTATAATCATGGTTTCAATGCATTTTGACTAGCAGTATTCATCACTTACTACACAACTTGAACCATCCTTCGGTATCCCATCACAAATATAGCACCCCCACACTTATACTGAAAACTTCACCCTCTCTCTCTCTCTGGCTGTATGTCTGCCCCCCCCCCCTCTCTCTCTCTCTCTCTCTCTATATATATATATATATACAGTGCATACACACACACACAAACAATCCAATAAATTAATTTACATTAAAACACAATTTGAACAGGTGTCAAGATAGATAAGCCAAAATTTCCATATTCAATCAATATTTTTAATCATCTTTTAACTACATGTATCTCAAATACATTGCAAAATCACAGGAAGTTTTGACAATGGGGGGGGGGGGGGGCAGTAGACGTAATGCATAGTATGAAGTAGATTCATTGTAAGAAAAATAAATTGTATTCATGATGAGGTACACTTTTCTGGCTCTTAAAGGAAATTTCCAGGCAGTTTTGTTTTTGTTTTTTTCATAACAATGATCAAACTCATTCCTTAATACCAAATCTATTAAACTGCCCCAACAGATTTTGAACAAGTATAAGTCTACTGTACTAGCAATACAGAGAATTAATTCATACAATGACTTTCAAATGTTCAATATCATTGTGTACTGTTAGAGGGAGAAAATCCATCATTGATTCATACAAGGCATGGAAACCAGACATAAATCAACTTCCTTGCTACTTGCCTTTGATGATTTGATGATTTAATTATATTTTTAACAATATTTTCCCTCCATTACGTTGATGACAAAAACAAGAATTGCCAGATACCCACATTTGTACAGCATAAAACATAAACTTAAACGTGAATACATTTCAATTACTAATCATGGTATTTACAAAATTGTGAACTACTTAATCTCAATCCTCCGATAGTGCACAATCAGAATATTTTTTCACAATGGAACAAAATACTTACATGTCCAGTTCAAATCTATACCTACAATGGTACAATGTATTTATTTAGCAGTGAATAGAGGCAAAAAACACATTTATCTCCCGACATCTACAAGTATTTTCTTCCCTTACATTAACATATTGAGAAACAACTTTCAGTGTCAAGTCATGATGAAAAAAAAATACATGAAGAACAAATACTTTCCAGAATGACAAAGGGAATGACCATTACTCAACATGTATCAGGAATTTTCAAAATAAAATATTGGTTCCTGTTTATAGAGCACTTGTTATGCTTTATGACACTTCTCTTTACCTGCATGTAGTAATACCTAGCAACAAAATATGTACTGCTCTGGTTAGATGGGTACCCATTTACATGTACATGTACACCTGAGTGAAACATGGTAACAATGGATTCATGTTATGTTTGTCTAAATGACTATGTACCATAAACAATTGAATGTGCAGTGCAGTCAATAAACCACTACTAGACTTGGGCATCAAAAACATTTTGCTGGAAGTATATACATTTACCTCACAAATACTGTAAATGACTATATATTCAAAGTGGTTATAAATTGTTAAGCCTCATCAATCTCTAAAGTTTTCATATAAATCACATGAACAGTAAAATACAACATCATACAAGTGTGACCTTAGTTGTCCCAAACAACTGTGTTTGAACAGAAATTGGTATATTCATATCTTTACCCTGTTTTTGCATGGAAGGATAACTATCATATAGGTATTGGCGTATTGATGTTACAATGCTACAAACTCTTGTCATCAAAATATACATGTGCATGTATATTTTACTGCAATGGAGAAGTGAGACAACAGGTTTTCTTCAAATTAGCAAATCAGGAATAATAAACCTACAGATTTCTGACAATAGGAAAATTTGAATTTCTTGTCCTTTAAAAAAATATATGTATGTATTTGTTTTAGTTTTAATTTTGATTTGGCTAATGAATGATTCAAAGTTGTGTTAATCAGCTCAGGGGTCAATAATAACTGTGACATATTGAATAGAGTATAACAAAAGAACATAAATGACACATTAATGCTTAAATCACTTTGTTTTGTGATCTTGTCATTTTTCAGAAGGCAAGTATATCCATCCTGTGTTTACACTCTTTTTATTTAAAGGAAAAAAAACATATGAAAGTAAGCAAAGAATAAAGAGAAATCATCACGGGTGTCATGACAGATTTAATGATTATTTTGCAAGTAATACACATTTTCCTTTTTCATTTTGTAAGCATTTTGCCTTTCATCAACTACAAACACACAGAGTGTAATCATCCAGGATACAAACTTAAATCTAACATGGGTGTAGTTCAAGAATCATTTTGAAATTCTAGCTTTTTCTTCTTTATTCAATGTGAAATACAAATTGCATTGCTAGGGGAATGCTTATTCTCCATCTGAATCTTCTTCATCTGATTCAACCTCCTTTGCAGAGATAGAGTTCCTGCAATTGACACATCTACACAACTCTGTACATGGAATGCCATGCTGTTGACATGAGCAACGTGACCGTCCTTTCCCTGACGCTGATTTTTCACAGCTCGTTTTCTTACATGAGCAGTTTGTAAGTTCCAGCAAGCTGCTTGGAGCTGGGGGTAAATCACCCCAGTCAATATTAATTTCACTGTCCACAAGTTTCCACCCATGACCATTTGGACTGGGACATTCTGGGAACTGTTGCAGACATTTTGAATGAATAGCAGCTTGGTAATTTGCCCTCATTAAGCGCTTCTTAAGAGAATCAGCTGAAGGAGGAAGATGTGTCTCTGCTTTGGTTAACATGAATAGCTTATATCTAGCTTCATTCACTGTATCACAGGTTTGCCCATACAACTTGCACACAAGTTTTTCTGCATTTTTCATCAACTGATCACTGACAACAAATGAACTTCCCATCTCATGAAATGTGGCATGAGTTTCAGTGTCATTTACAAGTAAATTGAAAGCTTTGGATTTTGACTTTCCATGAAATGAGCTAACTGTATCACAACCTGTGAAACAATGGAAGGGTATCAGTGCTCTACAAACATCTGGTCCTAGGTACCGACTAATCTTTGACAGGTTCAGGGTCCTTCTATTATTGCCTCTTCCTGTGTGGAAAAGCACTTCTGCCTCAATATCTGCTGCCATTGCGACTCCAATAACAAACACATCAGTGTCAGGACTCTTGATAAGGACAGGGTGCGGAGCTGCATCTGAACATGGTGGCTGGTGTGTAGCTGCATATTTACAATGAAGAAAAAGCCTTGTATCGGCTTCTTCATGGTTACAAGCTAGTTCTGGTACTATGCGGGTATGTATCTGCTCATTCTCAGCTGTCAATTCATGGCACTCTGAATCATGAGTGGCAAACACAGTAACATTCTTCAGAATTGCACCTGGCTGTTTGCTCCATGTCTGAAACAGAAATCTGATCAGCTCTGCTTTATTGTCGCCACATCCAAGAAATTTCTTCCACTGATGTGGTACCTGCTGTTCTTCACTGTAGATTTTGGTGATAACACTTCCACCAATTGACCGCCTTCCCCTTTCTGCATTCTTGATACTTTCTTTCCTGTAGGTATCAACTACAAAGTGTATCACATTACTGCGCACACTGACAGCCAAATCAATTATCTGTCGCAGGAGGAATTCACTGAGCTTCCCAAATGTTGGTGGAATATTCTTGGGGGACATTTCTTGTACCATCGCCATACCATCTACAATCCAAATGCTTCCTGGTAGAATATCAGCCTGTGGAGATGGTTGCACATGGGCTTCAATGCAATGAAGCAAAGTCGATTTGGCTGTCTTGGCTAGTAATCCATCTGGATGTGCAATTGAAAGAGGAAGGGGGCCCAAATTGTATGTCAGCATGTGGCGAATATCAAGCTTCCGAACATTTGCAATAATAACAAGCCTCTGAAAAAGATTTCTGTCTGCTTTCAATACCACTTCCTTACCTTTCACTTTAGATCGAGAGGTCTTATTCATAGACTGGAAGGTCTTAACTTTTACTAATTTAAGTGTCTTGAACATATCTTCATCGCCTTGAAGACATTCCTTGCTATATTGCATGAAGCATGTGTCTCCCCTGTCTCTTGCACTGAGATAATCGTCATTAACATCCTTTGATGCCACACAGCCAGATGCTATATGAAGCAACTGATCACTGGTGTCTTCAAACGGATTTATCATTGCTTCAATCACTGCTTTCACATTGCAGACACTCTCTTCGTCTTTCTTAATGCGAGAATGTTCCAAATCCTTGCGGCCACTTGTCCTCTCATCTTTACCAGCCATTTCTTCGCACCTCTTTGTAATTGCTGCTCTTTCTGGCTGGGACAAAATCCACCTTGTCACTGCACCTTTCTGGGTAGTGAAGCCCACCATGCCTCCTTTTGTTTTGGTGTCACGATTACAAGTCTGTTCAATGGTTTGGTCACAAGCCACCTGTGAAAATCCATGATCAGCTTGCCTCTGAACTGCAAAGTGGCCCTTCATGAATTCTTCATGGACTGCTGGATGGGTTGAGGAGAGTTGACACATTTCAAGCCAGTAGGCTGGTAGGTAACGAGCATAATTGATATGATTGTAAGCAAAAAGCCAAGGCAGAAATGACCTCACTGCAGATAGATGCAAGTTCCAATTTCCCTCTCTGGTAGCTCGGAGAAAAAGAAGCATCACTTCTACCATTTCTATGTAAGATGACCAAACACAGAAAGTAGGATACTTCTTCCCTTGATGAGTCACAAAACTGTCATACAATGAAGAAATGTTGTCAAACTCATTGGATGTTACAAGTTCCATGTATGCCTCTCCAGGAAAAGCTCGACCCAGTTGATTTATTACTTTTTGAGCTTGCAGTCTTTCAACTTCTGGTAAAGAGTCAAGAAAACTTTGCCACCTCAGCCGCTCCATGGCCTCTGCTACACACTTATGTACACGGATACTTCTGTTATAATGGTGGCCGTTCATTGTCCCATTCAAAGAGCCCAAGGCAACGATTCCTGATTCTACAACCACATTCTCCAGTCCTGCATCCCTGAAGCGTTTACCAATGCAGGATAACATGGCCAGGGAAGTGTGAAATGCACCAAGGCGAATTACCATTCGCTGAGAAAATCTCTCATTATTCCACCTAATTTGCTGCGCTTTGGCATATATTGCTTGGTCGAACACTACAGCCACTTGATCTTGCTTCAGGGTATCTGCAATTTGTAAAGATCTTTCAAGAATTGTATAAACTATAAACTGTATCATATTCAGTCGGACTAGCATCAATGATTGGAAGATACCTGATGTTGCATACTTCTGGAATATGGCTTTGTAGTATAGAGTTGCAGCCTGTCCATCCAGGGAAAATCATTTCTGATGAATCTCCCAATTTCATGACCCGGAGAGCTAGATCTAGCTTTCTTGACAGTATTTGAAATGGTTGATAAGGTTTGTCTTGCAGATCAACACATTCTCCGTAAGCCCTCGGTCCAATTCTCTTGCTTCCAAAATACTTCTTGATGTTTGGCGACGGGGGCTGCACAGAGCGGCGTCTGTCTCTGGATGAATGTTCAACATGTGAAGCTTCTGAGGTTGGTTCTGAGGTTGCAGATGGATCGTACTGTATCAGGATACCATTTGTATTATGTGTGGTTCCTTTCCCACTAGTCGTTTCTTCGCCAAAATCGTTATTATCCCACACCAGGGTGGTGAAAGTGATGTTTGATCCAGCTGGAAGTGCACCGATGCCTCGTTCAATCTGCCTCTTTGCCAATGCAGTATCATGTTCTAACGCAAAGGAATTAGAAGAGCAATGGCCAAATCCATTCAGCAGCCCAATTAGCTTCGCAGAACCAGTTAAGTGACGAACTGCCATTGAGAGGGATGAATGCTTGGGAAGAAGGATCCTTCCTTTTGCTCTCAAGAACATAATATCATGGGCAACTGAAAGAAGGCGGGGATGGAGCTCATCAGGCACTTCAACCTTTCCGGAGTCTCTTGGGTCAGAACTTGCCCCAGTTGACCATGCAAGAAAATTAAAGAGTGCAGAAGGCACAATTTTGTCGACTGTGTCCAGGGTTGAGTCATCAGCTGTGGGGGGCCACTCTATTGGGTTAGGTGCATTGACGATGCTGTCTTTAACAACCTGGGCAGCATGGAACATATCCCTCAGGTGATAAGCTCTGGATGGAACTGCATGTGAAGGGTCATCACTCACAGCTTCATTGCACTCGCTTTCTTCACTTGTCATTTCTCCAACTGCATCCTCTACTACCTCCTCAACAGACAGATTTTCAACAAATACAATGTCGCTCTCCACCTTCCTAGAAGGCCTGACAAAACAAAGAGCAGGGTGTGAGGATTTCAATCGTGCTTTCAATCGGTAGGTTTTGAAGGAGGAGGCATCTAATCCTTCAACTCCCCTGACTTCCTTGATGAAGAGTTGGTTCAGCTTAGTCAGCCTAAGGATCTCCTTATTTTTCATTATCCTTTCCTCAATTACCTTTTTGCAGAAACTAGAGTATGACTTATCATATATTACTGTTTGCTGAGTATCCTGTTTATAAGTATTACATCTCTTCACAACTTTTGTATACCTGTAATAGCACGATTTATGGTACCTTACTTCTATTGCAACAAGATCTTTCCCACGTATGTGTAAAAGCAATTGTTCATCTTGCTTTAATAAAGCGGCCTCTAACAGATGCCCCCCATCTTTTCTTTCACAAAGAATTAATTTTTCTACCTTCCGTTTACCAGAAGACTGTTCGCGGATATACTTAGCTCCTTTGCAGATAATGCAATGGACTGGCAATACATGCGGCTTATCAAAGTCATGGCTGGTAGAGGGTTGATTTTCATGGGATACTCTCGACCGCAGCAGTCTCTTGGGTGCAGGGGCATCCTCACTTGCTGACACTTCCTCTGGATCTTCTGTAGATGTCTTCTCAGCATCTGTGGGTTTAACAAGAAAAAGAGAAGGAAGAAAGGAACAGACAGGAGAAAAAATACTGATTAAAACCAATTTTATCAAAATCATTCTGATTTTCTGAATATATAACTCAATGTGGTGTTGGTGTTGAAAGTGTGGATCAAGCTGCTGAACCAAGCTCCAACACTGACTGTACTTGAGAAATAGCTCAATACTGAGTGATGTCACGCCTTTTATGTGATCCACTCATGATTTCAAGCGAAAAGGCTATACAACGAAAGTGAAATCAGTGAGAAATGGCATTCAAATTTCATCAAACAGGATGTAAAATCTAAAATCGTATTTTCAAATCAAAAGAGAAAATGTTATTAATCTTTAGAAAATAGACACATATATAGCTCTGATGATTTGTAAAACATTTTGACTGTAAATTGGATTTCGCTTAACTTTGCTGTGACGTTATCATTTGGTTCATGATCTTAAGATCACCAACACCAACACCGAACTTCAAATCACAAATTTCCCAATCTCTAGGCGATTTGTGTTGGGGAATAGGGAAATAACAAATAAATCGTCAAAGCGAACCATGATACTCGGTTCAGCAGACAACATTCAACAACATATTTTCCGAGGTCAATTCCAACACCAGCCGCATTTCAAGTTCAGTGTTGTGGCTTTTGACACTGAACTTGAAATCGCCAGTAGATCTAAATGTGTAGATGCAGAACAATTATTGCACAATTGCACCTACCGGTGTCTTCTTTTGCACTGCCTCACACACGCACAGATCAAACACTCTCCTTCTCTTCTTTGTCTTTGTACTGTACTGTTTAAATTATTTTAGCAGCATTTAATCATTGTTTATTACCTCTCTTCTTCTGAAGTCTTGTCAATGCTCTACTGATTGTCGTTACGTTGCAAAAGTGTCGGTAACATTCAGCATGATATCCTCGAAGCCGAGTATGGTGCTCCCTAGTAAAAGAAAATGTGAGAGATGTAGACTAATAAATAATTTCTATTAAAGTTCAATCTGCTAAAATACAAGAACTGCTGAACCTAGTTTAAGTAGTTAGGCCTATGTAAATGGCTTAATTTCTTGACACAAGCAAGAGTCAAGAATTAGACTATTTTATAATTTATCTGTAGACGAAAAAAAGTACAGGGTCTAGACAGTAGTAGTAGGGACAGGGTCTAGTAGTAGTAGATCTAGACCTAGAAAATCTATCCTGTAATCCAGGACCATAGTAGATGAGAGGTCTAGATCTAGTCTGTTCTCTACTACTCTAGACCAAATTTGTAATTTCTGCTCTTTTTTCAAGTGCAATTTTTATTTCGGGGAAAATGTGAACACTTTTCATTTCATGCAGGCCTAGATATCTAGATCTATACCAATATATTAGGTGATAACTTACCTGCTTGTTGTCGATGACTGAAGACCGACTTGTCCCACACCTTCACTTTCGTGTACGTGTTCTTGCAACTTCTCTGCAACTTCACTTTCTAAACTCTCTTCCACGATTACCCACTTAGCTGCACACTCCTTACACTTTTGATAGCTTTTATCACTAAATGGTATAATCTTGCTCTGAGTATCGATGACATGTATGGAACAGAAAGCGGATTCACCAGCCTCAGAATTGTCCGTCTCACTGGCATCAAACGACTCAGAAGTCGCCATAGTACACAGTGAAAGTCGCAGTGCACAGTAAAAGTCGCATAGGCGTGCGCATAAAACAAAGAATATGATTGGCCAAAAGCCAGTCACTCCACACATCATGCTATCAGCAACGTATTGTGATTGGTCATTCTTACCGTAGAAAGTGAAAAATTGTCTCAAATTTGTTTTTTGTTTTTTGATATTTTCAGAAAATGTGCAAGTTTTGTTACTGACGAGTTTCAGATGTGACTGTAATAAATATTTTTAAACATGTTGACCAAAATACAGCTAGATACAAATTTGAGGCACGAGATGAAAAGAAAATGCACCTCGGCCCGCGGTCTATAAGTAGTACACATACATGTAGATCAATTTCAACATAGAAAATTAGTCTGAACTTGCAGACTAGCCATCTTTTTCAGATGTGTATCAACAGACAGATAAGGAGGAAATCTTGGAAGGAACCTCTTGAGCAGTAAAAATCAGAATTAATGATTGTTGGTCTGCTTGTTTTGGACAGCCACAGCAATGACTTCATTATCGGTTCATCAACCCCTAGATACATTGACTGTTGAGAGCCAGAAGAAGGTTAGAGGTACTTAGTAAAATTATGATGGTTGATTTCACAAATCTGTTGAATCAGGATGCAAAACATATAAAATTATGTTTGTATGTATGGATTATCCAACTACGATGCCCCAAATCCGAAATTAATTCACGCAATATGAAGATTTTTAACAAAGTTCAACAGGTTTCCGAACGGGCGTCGATGTGCAGCGCTTCTGAATCTAAATTCTCCCAACCATTTTTTAATTTTCCCAACCGTTTTTCCATGAAAAAAAGACATAAAAACAGGCTATAAAAAATCTGTCAACACTTAAATGTCTTGAATGGAATGTAGAGCCATTTTATTGCTTTGTGAGATTTCCATTCACGTTAAATGTAATTAAATTGTAATAATATAGTTGGGAGAATTAAGGAATTGATCTGATCAGTTTTTCCCAATTTGTACCATAAATAATGGTCCGTTTTCGCTCAAATTTTCAGATTATCTTTAATTGTACATCTAGCATTGAAGTCACTCCCTTAGCACCACTATCTCTCATCTGAACAATGTTACAAAGTCCCTTTAACTCATATACACTGTAGTTAAACACAGAGTTACCTTCTGGCTATAAAGAGAAGATTAGAAGAAAATGAACCCTCATTGATCTTATCAAAAATTTTCCAAGAAAGAAAAGCATAACATTGTTAATCTGACCAAAGGTCAAAACTTGATTATATAAAAGCCAATTCTTTAAATAACAATTTTTTTTATTTATTTAATCCTCCTATTGTATGACCTTTGACCTCACCTTGACAAACATTCCCTCATGACTGTAAAGTAAGGGTTTGGTGAGATGAGGACAATGCATGCTGGTACATAGCACATGTCCTGTTCATGGCCTTCCTTCTGATTGTTCTGCACAGTGGTGGATGTCTTGGGTTCTAAGCTGTAGAAATCCTCATCAGGGTACTGAAAAAGATTTGTTTTTATAACAAAACAACCGATTTGACTTTTAACTACTGACTTATGATATTCCCATAGGTGTGATATAGGAACCATTTGATTGAAATCAGAAAGACATGACTCATGCCTGCCTTGGCAAACAAACCAAGCTATTAACTAACGATCTGCACACAAATCTACACTGGGAACATAAACATATTATTTTATTGCAAAATAGTGTAGGTAGGGACTATTTTCGTCACTTCATTATCTTTCGCATGTATTTGTTCCTTATTTCATCTATTTCTATAAACGTGATGTAATTATTTCTTGTAATTATGTATTTTCTTGAATATTACTATAAAGCCAGTGGAAACCAAATTTCTATGTAACTTGTTTGCAAACACCAAATAAAATATCTTGTATCTTGTAAAGTTGTAACCTGTACACTGCATACCTTCCCTCTTGCTCCTCCCCATCCTCTCCCCCCCCCCCTCCCCACATTGCCTCAAACTTAACCTATTCTAGTGAATCTTACTATTGTCTTGCTCCTTCAGGCCTCCATCCTCCCCTATCTTATCCGTTCCTCTCTGATATGTTGTCTTCCCCTTCTTTCCTTCTTCTCCTTTCTCTGCTACTGGTTTCTGGTTTACAGTTACTCTTTCCTGTCAAATTACTTCCTTGACTCTTTGCCAAAAAATGTTGATGATGATAATATTGAATATTATCATAAAAGTGATATATTCAAGTTTGTTTCATTCCAGTGATGGTCTTACCTTGTGAACTATAAACTGTCGATAGAAAGTGAGACACGTTGCATATGATCTGGTTCCTCTTAAACTGGTCAAGACTAGATAATGGAACGATTCCTCTCGCTGACCTTTACTGACCATTGCATCACCTAAAGGAAGAGACAGATATGACAAAATATGAAAGAAAAGTTATTATTGGCTAAGAGTAAAAAGGACATCAATTCATACAATTTAACATGTTTACGGGTCTTAAGATAAAAAAATATCAAAATGTAAATGTGCCTCTGCCGCTGAAGGTGGAGCGTTCTGTTTAAGGGATTGGGTATCTTTCATTTATATATATTCTAAAATACACCATTTTGAGAGTTATTTATTTGTGCTATTCTTTATTATAAGAGAACAAGACAGCTGACATTCCTTTGTCAAGATTCTCATGTAATCATGAAAGGTTTAAGTCTCTCTCTCTCTCTCTCTCTCTCTCACCCACACCCACACTCCCAGGTTGTTCTGCCAAAGCAGGTCCACTACACCAAAGCTCTCTTTAGTTATTTCTCAATCCCTCTCTATCTTTAGCCTTCTTCTTCTTCATTATGTCATATGATCTGTTTCTCATGAAAATACAAAATTATGTTCAATGCTGGTGTGCAGCTACTGAGCTGGAAAGCTGTTATAAAAGCTTCAATACTTCACAATTTTGAAAATTTGATGAGAACTACAGGAAGTTTACCAAGCATTATTGGGAAAACTGTAAAACTGTCAAGACTGTCAAAAGACAAAAGTGTCAGTATGTCACAGTTTATGGAAATTCAATATTAAATTCAAACATTTCAAGTTCCAACATTTTGATGAGAAGTGAATGCACCTTGTCAAAGTATTGTTTGGGACAACCTGCATCAGAAATTTCAAGAAATATTAAGCAGTTGTCCTGCTCCCATCCAGAATGAGCTCTACCCCCTTGAATTTAACCGAGACTGTTTTTCTTAAAAGACTATCACATTTCCTTAATGCAGGTCAAAAGGATCTTGTTTGTTTGTTTGTTTTTATTTCAAAAATCCATATATACATACAAGTTTTATAAAAACTTAAAGCACATCTCAAATGATAAGAAAGTTATTAAATGTGTAAAGTATAGAAAATTCTTTGTAAAATCCAAACTCAAGTCCAAAAATGGTAAGAAAGAGGAAGCTGTAATTCCACTTGTAATGAAGTGAAACAGGATGTCATTTTACACGCAAATTTTCAAGGATTTTCAATAACAAATGTATTTAAAGATCAATATTGATGAAAGAATACAAAACTTGGGTTTTTTGTTGTACGCAGAACACCTGAATTTTGTATTCTTTCACTTTCATAAGTATTTGTTATCAAACACGTTTATTCACAAGTCAGTGTTATTAAATGACATCCTCTTTCAATTCATTTTACAATTGAAGTGAAATTTTGCCATCAAATTTGTTGGGCTACCAATACTTTAGAGAGGCTTTAAATGTACACATTTTAGAGGGGGGGGGGGAGATTCCAAATTAAGTACAATGTACCTGGTTACATATTCAAACATGATCTCAAAGAAATATAAAACTTTGCTTGCATGAAACTTTTGTGAACTTAAAGAGTGGAAGAAGTTCACTTCAGTTACAAGCTGTAAAATAATTTAATTACGAAACTAAATTATGGCAACCAGCAAACGTGTCAGGAAACAAAAGTTTTAAGTAAATTACAGTAGTGCCTCCTCTTAATTTATTTTACAACAACTTCCTCCTAGTAGAAACCCATGAAAACAGGTTTTTCTTACAGAGGAACAGCCATCTATACCATTTCTTTACAGGAAGTATTTGATAATTATCTTGACAAAACAATTCTCCCAGACAGGAAGAGAGGGCTAAATTAGAGCAGCATCCTGGGGAGACAAAATGGTGCATATTCCAGGTTTCATTTACAGCATCCCATGGACTAGGGACCATAAACAATGCTACATTGTTGTGTGACTGTCCCTAGAAAGAGGGCATTAACTCAAATGTATATCTCTTTGATGTTTATAAATGAAAGTTAAGAATATAATGTATATGAAGAGAAGTTCACTGGAGTGTTAACAATTTTGATATAGAATGAAATGTTTTGTGTAAATAAATAAACAAATAGAGCAAAAGAAATATCAAAATTCAGGTGAGTATTTTGAGCATTGTATTTTCTAGCTATAACTCAGCACCCTTCTGCTGGGCACATGACAATTTATGTACTGCATCCTTATGAATTGCTTTGTCAACATCTGATGAGAGCTATAAGGGCTTATCGCACATGTATACTCCAGTGGCAACTGCTTTGGAGTTCAATTTCTAACAGTAACTAAATTTGAAACTTCAACGATAGAGTACACCCAGTTCTACAACCCACCTCCGAACCGATAACACCAACAACCAAAAAACAACCACAATCTCAACCCTTTATTCTCTGATGAAACAAAGCACCAAACAAATGTAGCTGGACTATTTGATCATTTGTATCATCATTAAGCTAAATGAGTATTACTATCACAAAAGTTAAAAAGTACCTTTAAGGCGGAGTAATATACAAGTATACTACAGCCTACAAACATGATGATTAATATTTTTTGGGGAAAAAAAGAGAAATGACATGCACCATAGATATGAAGATAATCAGGGATTGATGGATTACCCCTTTCATCAGTGAAGGTCAACCATAAGGTCATGCATGGGTGCCCCCACTAATGAAAATCCCCAGCTTCATTCAAGGATGTAATTTCATTTTCAGTCATTATTGATATCACTTTTCCCTGATGATTCTGAATGTGTACTGTACTTTCTTCAGTCTGTTTCAAAGATACTGTCCATATGTCTCCTACTTCTTCATAGCCCAAATCTTTAAGATCAATATAGCCGCAAAATTTATTTTAAAAAAACAAGTGATACATATAGTCACATATAAGTTGATAGAAATAAAATACATTGAATACTTTTGTGAGCATAGTTTTCTAGATCATATCATACAGTTATGGAGTTTACTTAGAGTGAATGGATTAGAAAAAGAGAATAATTCTGATGGGGCACACTAACTGGTATATGGCAGTGGGGAATGTTAGATGACTGGAGTTTTAGTTTTTTATTAGTCAATTAAGAAACATCATACTAAGGATTACTAATGGGTGCAATTTAATAGAGAAGAATCAAATAGCCCCCCCCCCCCCAAGCGAGAAAAATATTAAAGAGGACAGGGGATTTTAGTAATTAGGAAATATTCCATGTCACCCCCAAGTAGTAACTGTTACAACTTAATGGCAACAATCATCATATCACGTGTGGAAGTGGGGCAGATGAGAAGACAACAGGAGGTTTTTTAAAGTTAATTAAGAAATGTTCCATCTTACCGAGTAAGAGAATGAGAGATGTGGAAACAGAAGAGTTAAGGATGAAAACTAAGAAGATAAAGATTAAAGACTGAATAGTGAATTCAGAGATGCATGACAAGTTCGCAAAGGACTAGGAGAAGAGGACAGGGCAAAGCAGATACAATGAATGGATTTACCTGGGAAGCAGAGTGGAGGTAAAGAATTGATCATCTCTTGATTGTACGAGAGAGGAAGTGCCCGCGGCTTGATGGACAGCCTCCGGGTGATGCGTCTCTGCCGCTGGAATCCGCTGGGAAACCCAAGGTCCCTCGCAGGGGGTGTGGTCACAGACACAGGGGTTCGAGGGTACGCGTACTCGCCGTACCCATCGGGTCCGAGCAGAGATTTGTTCTGGGGGAAAACTGCCATCTGACGCGTCAAGACGGCCAAGACTTGTGGTTCAAAGGCTCTGGAAAAAATTGGCATTCCATCTCCGCTATTACGGAAATTGTAATGCTGGCAAAATAAAGAAATAAAAGAGGAGCATAAACAATAACATCATCAAATAAGTAAATGCTATTGGTGAGTAACATAACTGGGTCAAATCATTGTAAATAAAATAAATTAATTTAGGATAATGGTATTTAATTCATTTTATACACAAGGGTAAAGCTTATGCAATAAATATCTGTTTGAAATTGAAGTACATGTCATTGTAAACAATACTGATAAGTGATGCTTTCATTTTATGATCGTGAATAATTTCAAATTTCTCATAGATCTACACAATTTCACATGTAAGCCAAATTATAATATAGACTAAGTAAAATGAATTAAATTTTTTTATTTTCATACTGATTAAGATTAACTTAAGACCCTAATTCCTATAAGAAAAATTTAAAAAAATATTTTAACCTGGAGCTGGCTAGGCTAAAAGTAAAACTGTCTAGATCTAGATCTAGCAAAACATTATTTATCTATATAAATCTACCTGAGATGCAGACATCGACTTCCTGGCAAGTTTCAATCCAGTGTCATGATCCATCCCCACGACCACACACATCTCGATGAGAGCATTGGGGAGTTTTGGAGTAGAAATAGGGTTAGCTGGACCTAGCAGCGAGGCAGAAATCACCGGTGGCTGCAGGCTAGACATGCCGCTGCTCGGGGCTAGACTCATGCTGCTCATCAACTTCGGTCTGCCGGAGCTGGAAGGGTTAGGAGACAACGTAAAATCTTTCGCGCTCTGCCTCCATTTATTTAGAAATCGAAGAGTAGGAACGATGGTACTGAGTTTATCCCCAGCTTCGTGGATATCGTCTGCACTGTGACTTTTCTCGTTCTGCTGCAGTGCAAGACTGATGTTGAGATGTAATTTCGGTTTGTTGAGCCGCGGTGGAACAGCTGATGCGGAGGCTGAGCCAGGCGTGGGCGCTCCGCGTGGAAGCTGCAGAAACTTTCCAGTTGCCCTAGTGTCAGGGGCCTTCTCTCGCTCGCTGCCCCCGCTGCCGAAGCTGCTTTCATCGAACCCCGACATCCCGTGATCCTGTTTATTGTATTTTTATTGATTGTCAACTCATAAAATATGTAATTGCATGACAATATTCATGGTATGCATCAAAAGGTACAATGGCCTTCCCTTAGGTCTAGCTCAAACAGCCATTTAAACGTACAAAGTTCAATCATACAGCACAAAAACAAACTTAACAGCCGACGACTGACTGGGTGGGTGTTGCTGCTGTTGACTTGTTTATTGAACTGTGAAAGTGCATTATGCATGCGCAAGACGACTCGACGGTACTGCATGCAAGGACTTTGCACCTTGTAAAACAGCACGTGTGTTAACAATTTTTTGTGCACAGTCGTCTTCATCTGATGAACATTCCAGGGAGAACTAAAAATTATCTTGGAAAAAAAAAATATATATATATATATACGTTAGATGTAACACGAGCAGTAGGCTATGTATGCACAAGATGTCCACACTAATAGCACAAACGTGGTGCACACTTGAAAGTTTGTCAAAGTGGAGCAAGGAATCCGCAAGGAATCTTACGATCAATCACTCAACCCCCGATGTTCGTGTCCCTTGGGAAGTGATTCAACTTTTTTCAGTCTTAATTAAACCAGACTGACTGCCAAATAAGGGGTTTTATTTGTCCAGTTTTGTTGATTATATCAACTCTCATTTAGCTCTTTACCGAGATCCGCGCGAATAATTGGTTAAGGAGTATAATAATACCACTTTTCGCCACTGAGTCAGAGAACTGGAAAATCGACGCAGATCGAGCGCATTTTTGTGTTCTTTATTTCAAGAAGGCACAATTTTAAAAAGTTGGGCCCTATAGATCGAGACTATTATACGAAATAAAAGACTTCAAAAATTGGGGGGGGGGGGAATCTGGACGTGACCCCCCCCCCCCCCCCCCCCCAGGGAAAGATTCTGTGAAGTATTTAGGCATTGAGTTGGCTAGCGCAATTTCATTTTCATCTTTAGTAGAATCAGTTGTAAAAAAAGCAAATTCTCGTCTGAAATTGTTGTACAGATATCAAGTTGTATGGATTTAAAAGCAAGACGTACACTCTGTTTTGCTCTTTTTCAATGTTTATTTGACTATGCTAACCTTGCGTGGTATAGTAACCGTAACAAGTCACTAAGTTGAAAATTATACAGAACAAAATGGTGAGATTTATCAACTGTCATTCTGATCCAAGAACTCATGTAGCCTTCTTTCTAAAGCTGGTTTTCTTGAAGTCGACCAAAGATCAAAACAACTCGTTTTGCATCACGTGCATAAAATATATCATACTAGGTCGAATCACTATATTCGATCCAAATTCGATCTTGCCTGATTATAATACAATGTATAATTTGTATAATCTGTTTAAATCATTGGAGCATCTATTTGACTTTATAATTCCTGGATTTGGCTTCTGTTGTTGTCCCTGTTATTGAAGAAAACACCATAACTATACCTTACCCATCTGGCTGTGCATTTTCCAACCAAAACATTTAATTCTTTTGAATATCAAAAATGTATTGCTATTCATGTATTGTATAAGTTTAATATATCATTTTATTGCAAATATGGTAATACAATTCGAATTTCTGTATATGTACCAAGCAATTTACCAAGGTCGTTGAAGCATAATTATATATCATTTGTACAAAAGTATTCCAATTTTACTACCATAATGCTACCATGCATAATGTTTTACGTGTAATTTTACTTTGTCACTGATGTATACCTTGTAAAAAAAACTGCAATTCGGCTCTCGGGCCGCGAATGTTTTTTAATGAAATAAACCATTTTAAATAAATAAATTTTAAAAAAATACAAGAAATAGCCGATTCAACTTTAACTTACCAGAAAGAGTAGGTAGTATTGGAAATACGTTTTATTACAATGCCATAAAACATTGGAAATACATGTAGAAAACTATGCTCATTTTAAGATTAAATTTAAGGAAAACCTAATACTTGACAGTCAGAGAATTAAGTGAATGACATGTTATATGATTGAAATTCTTCTGCCGGTTCATACCTTTTCATTTTGTATGTACTCATGTTTTCGTGCGTTATAAAAATTCTACAAATTCATCATTATTTTTCTCTTCTTCCTCCTCCTCCTCTTTTTCTTCTTCTCCTTCTTCCTTTTCTTCTTGTACTTATCATTATCATTTCAATCATCAGTTTAATGTATGTTATTTTTATCATCTTTAATAAGTAATTCTTTTATTTTTTTTATCTGTCCGTAAATATTACTTATTACTTATTAACTTATTAATTTTATACATGTCTGTAAGGGACCCCACTGAAAATAAGCTCTCGAGCTTTCGTGGGTTATCCTGTTCAAGCTGCCTTATTTTTGATCTGTTATTATTGTATATTGTTAGTGTCGAATACAAATCAAGCAATCAATCAATCTGATTGACGCCCAAGCGAGTATACTCATGGGGACATGTATTTGGAATTTAAAAAACCGAAAGCATAACATAAACTAAACTTCACCGGTTCTGCATCAAATCGTATTTGAAATTTTATAGAGCATGAAAAAGAAATTTGGGAGATTTAATATAGACAGAGCACGAGAAATGGACGCAAAATCATGAAGATCGGAAAAAAGATGGAAAGACAGATATTACGAAAATAAAATGAGCATATAGCAAGACTTTTTGAAAGATAATTGGCTTTAAATAGACCAGACATTTGCAGATCATATATTTTGGTTCTGTTTATATTTCTTTCATTTTAGGTTTTCAACGTAGAATACAGAAGACCGAAATTATAAATTATTTCAACAATAAAATTTTGTCTTCAAGCACATTTTTTTTTTTTTTTTTTTTTTTGGGGGGGGGGGGGGGAGGGATCTTTGCAGAATCTTGTCTTAAATTACATTATTTGTCACATTATGATACATAATTTAAGGCACCCAACACTTTATGAGCCTTTCCTTTTATTCTTGATCCATATTCTTTCTTTCTTTCTTCTCTCTCTCTCTCTCTCTCTCTCTTATCCTCTCTTTCTCCCTCCCAATTCTCTCTCTCTCTCTCTCTCTCTCTCTCTCACTCTTTCTCTCTCTTCTAGAGTTCTCCGTGTATAAACTCATGACGCATGACAATTTGATTCCCAATCATAGGTTACATAGCTTTCAATAATTGAAGGGAAAAGAAAATCTTCAACTCTATCTTTTATTAATTTTTGATTCGGCGCTAAATATTTTCTCACGAATTTGGAAAAAAAAAAAAATTAATGCTCCTTATCCCCCCCCCCCCCCGCTTATTCACGGCTGGCTGAATCGCCGCTCAACATTTTCTCACGAATTGGGCCCCCTTGCCGCCTGCTGGATCCGCCCCTGTCCGAAAGTACGGGGGCATACTGATTTTTTTTTTTGCGCGGATGTCGGGCACATGATTTCAGGAACCCTCGGCCTTCTCCAACCTCGCTGATTTTCAGTGCTCATATATTTGTTAATGCCTTTTTATCTTTGTTGTTGTTGTTGCTTTTTGATGTATTTTGTTTTATCACCTGGGGGGGGGGCGGAAGGGGTGTAGTTCTTTATTGTATTCATTCAATACATGTACATCCCATAAGTTACTTATTTCAAATTGCAATACATAACATATCGAGTACACAATATACACAACTCAATTATTTTGAAGGAATAAATCTTACCGTAACCCCCCCCCCCCCCCCCCCCCCCCCCCCCCCCCCCCCCCCCCCCCCCCCCCCCCCCCCCCCCCCCACCCTACCCCAGCCAGCTCCCGTCGCTGCTATCGTAATGATGTGCTATCGTATTATGCTATCGATCAACGAAACTTCACGTGTTGTGCAGCAGCCGACAAAAATGGCTAAAAAAGGAGGACATGTAAAACGTAAAAGAAGTGAAAAGGCCATCAAAAAGCAAGATAGTGGGATTGAACCTGAAGAAGATGACCAGCCTGCATCACCAAAACGGGTAAACATGTTAATATTTGATAAATATTTTGCATTTATTTCTGGTCAGTGTCTCAACTTTTTCATTGTCCCATATACTGTAATTGATGTATTGTGTTATTTATAATAGGTCTAGATCTAGTCTATATTAGCATCGTGAAAAACGCAGCCATAAGTGTAAATTGTAATTTCAATGATGACGGCTCGCCGTGTGCAATTAAATTACATTAGCTGATAAAAGAAACTGAAAAGATAAAAGGAGAAAAACAACTTATGAGAAAGAAAGAGGGTTGATTGTTATGAGAAAGAAGGAGGGCCCTGATTGTCAAACTCAAAATAAAAGATGAAACTGAAAGAAAGAAAAGAGAAGGATGAAAATAGAGAATACCATCAAGGGTACAAAGTGAAGATGATGAAAGGAATAATGAATTCAAGATAGAAAATGAAAGGAGAAAGGGTAACATATATTTAAGAAAAAAGAGAAGACGAAAGACAGATAAATAAAGAAAGAAAGATGATAACATCGAGAAAGAAAGGTGGATTTTATAAATAAAAAAACATCAAGATTGAAAGAAAATGAGGGAAAGATATGAGAACAAAAAAATAATGACATAAAACTGTTGAACTAGAGAAGATAAAAGAAGGATAACACAAAGGATGATATAACTTAGAGATAGATATTGGGGAAAATGTCTACATGTGCCTTTGTATGGAGGTGTAAAATTAAACCATGCAATGCCAATGATAAACCTCTACAGTGTAGAGTATGTGAGTAGTAGCTTACTGGCTTTTATAATAATGCCATGATTTTAAAGCGGTAACATTATTGGAGTAGATCTGCCATCGGTGCCATTTAAAGTAAGGTTCCAGTCAGGATGTCAGTTACTCCAGGGATTGAAGTCCAGCATTTGTTACTTTGTATTCCTAATATTTCACTAATTTTTTGTGTAGTTTTCAAGAGCCATTTAAAAATATAATTCAGCATTTAGTTTACATGAGGTATTTGTTGTAATAATTTAGCTTTTCATTTTGCTTGTTATTTTTTAAAACAAATTTATTGAGGCTTCTCAAGTAGTACAACAAAATCACTACAACATGTTGTAAATTTAGATCGAGCAGTCTAACATTTGTATGTATCTGTTTGTTTTTATGTTTGGGGTTGCTTGTTTACAAAAATATATATATATATATATATATATCAGCAATCCTTGTATTTGTAATGATTTCATTTTGATTTTTTATCTTTTGCCAAATAAATGTGAATTGAATTAAAATTTTGTCCCTCAAAGTGAGAAGGTTAGAAATATTTTGTTCAATTATATATTTTATTCCTATAGGCGAAGGTTTCAGCTGGATTTCCGACCATCGATGGCTATTCTTCAGATGCAGACATAGATACCAGAGCTCTGGTCAAACAGCAGAACAGAAAAAAGAAAAAGTCTGGAGGATTCCAGTCTATGGGTAAGATTCAAATGTCAAATTGTAAATATGTGTGACTGTAGAATTTAAATGCTGAAATTAAGAAGATATATGTAGATTTTTCTAGAATGATAATGAACAAATGGATAAAATTAGAGGATAAAGTACTTACGGCTATTAGTGTTTGGTTGTGTGGGAGTATCACAGAGGGGTGTGTTAGTAGTAAGCAACAGCATTGTTGATGTGATAGCATTGTTTTGTCAATTGTTAAGTGTTCTGTCTTCTTGTACTTCTTTTTGTATCTTATTTCACCATATTGAATAATTTTATTTTTTTTTAGATTTAACAAATCTCTTTCTATGTTGTTATTTCTGCAGGTCTTAGCCATGCTGTTTTTAAAGGTATCATGAAGAAAGGATACAAAATTCCTACACCTATTCAAAGAAAAGTAAGTGTGTCACTGTATCCTGTCCCCAAAGGATACAGAGAGTCTTTCTTGTTATGAAGTATTTTGTAAATGTATGCAATATTTTTCAAACTATTCTGTATGTGTTGACGTACTGGTTGAGATCTAGGCAACTAAACAATTAGAAACTGTGTAAGTATATTACCATCATTGTGCTGATTATGATTGACATGTTACAACTTATAGCATATAATGTATTTTTGTTTAAATTTTTTTCTTTCTCCAAATTAATTGTGGTTTTGAAAGTTTTAAAGCTTCTTTCTCTTTACTTAATATTATTGTGGTTTAGATAACAAATAATAACATTATTTTTTATGTCAATTGGTGTATGTTGATCATGAAACGTAGTCAGAAACAAAGCAAAACAGTATCATTTTTATAGTAGAAATTCACATCTTTTGTACTGCTTCCAATAGTCCAAATAATAATAAATTTTGAACAGCTGTGGTTTGACTGACTAATTTTATAATCGTTTGACTCTTCATTTACAGTGCATACCCATTATCATGGAGGGGCAAGACGTTGTGGGAATGGCTCGAACAGGGAGTGGCAAGACAGCAGCTTTTCTTCTTCCTATGTTAGAGCGACTCCAGAGACGATCGGCCCAGTCTGGTGCAAGAGCTCTAATCCTCTCACCCACGAGGGAGCTAGCACTTCAAACGCTTAAATTCACCAAGGAGGTAAGAATTCTGTTGAAGCCCAGGCAGCCTAGCACAGAAGTGTTGCTTTCTAGAATTTCTGTACAGTGCATGATGTTGCTTCCTTTCCCTTTCTTAAAAAGGTTGTGTATCATTTGCTCTGGTGATAGTTACTTTGCAGTCAATATCCGTCACTAACCGAATCCTTAACTTCACCTTGGACCACACCCTATATCTATAACCCTAAACCTGACCTTAAACCCAATAGCAACCCTAACACAAACCTTATATCTGTGTCAAAATAAATCCTGGAGCAGTGTCACTGGAGCATATGTCAGAGCACCCTAAATACATTGCAAGTCTTTTTATTCATTTTCTAGTATAAAAATGTATATCATAGAATAAACACTCATATTATACTGGTAGCAGTGTATTAATGAGTCATGTTCGTTACCTTACTGATGGGAAAGGGTTAAGATCTTCTGAGTCAAATTAAAGCTGACTTTGCAGAGATTTAAATAAAATCTTCAATAACAGAACGTTAATGAAAAGTTAGAATCAAATCAAATGATGAGATGATATCCACCCATCATTTCATTCTTTCAGCTTGCTCGCTACACGGACCTGAGGTCAGAGGTCATCCTGGGAGGTGACCGGATGGACGACCAGTTTGCTGCCCTCCATGAGAACCCTGACATCCTGATTGCCACCCCTGGTCGTCTTCTCCACGTCCTAGTCGAGATGGACCTCAAGCTCATGCAAGTGGAGTATGTGGTCTTTGATGAGGCAGACAGGTGAGATTCTTCCACAGTCTATGACAGTTAGCCTCCGTCAACAGTATAAGCTGGGGTGTGGAAGATGGGAGGGGTCGGTAGTATGAGGCATGTACAATTATCAATCCTTCATATGTACACACCTTCCTTTGATGTAATTGCAATATTTTTTATTTAGTATTTTAATAGTATGTTGTCTTTAAAGGTAAAGACCAGTATTGGAAACGCCCCAATTTCAAAAAATAAAATGGAAGCTCTCATTACCAATCATGTGAAAGAATATGTTTTGACTAATACATGATGATAAAAAATTTGCCGGAAACCGCCTACTAATTCATATATTTGGTAAATTTGTTTCTCTCATGGTCTGTGGGAGATATAGGGTAGTCCCATATACATCTTTCTGTGTATAGTGCTTGTAACTTTACGAAGAATGGGGAAAAATTTCTTATCATTTTGATGATTCCAGAACCTTGCAGATGCTAGATGCTAGATGATCAACCTTTTCTGATCGATTCCACAACGTTTCTTTCACAATGCAATCGCATGACCATAACTGGTCTTTACCTTTAATATGGGAGATTAGAGGGGGAGAAACATGACTACGAGGGGTGTTTATCCACCCCTCTGTAGTGGCTGCTAGAGTAGCTACTTGTCAAGTTGAATTTGTGTAGTATTCGGTGAGGGAGACTTGGGGGGGGGGGGGAGGGGGGCTGTATGTGTTGTGATGGTCTGTTATATTCCCAATTCTTTTCATATTTAAGTTTTGAATAAGTATTTCTCTCCACCAGAACTTTGCAGTGCACATACCAATTTTTTTATTCAGGGCAGCATCTTATAAAACCGCCATAAGTACAAGTTCACCGACATCCCATTGAAATTTATGTATTAATTTATGATGGTTCCATGAAACACTTCCCAGGAAGAAAAGTAGCTACTCCAATTTCAAACATTTTGAATTTGGCCTGGATCTGTAGCCTTTTTGACCTAAACAGCTGAAATATTTATGCAACATTATTATTTGATCTTATTCTATCCAGGTTATTTGAGATGGGTTTTGCAGAGCAGCTGAATGAGATCTTATCCAGGTTACCCGACAACCGACAGACCTTGCTCTTCTCAGCCACCCTACCCAAGAGTCTGGTAGAGTTTGCCAGCGCTGGTCTGAGTGAACCGGTGCTGGTCAGGCTGGATGTAGAGTCAAAGATTAGTGAGCAGTTAAAGGTACATATCAGATCATTGTTTGTGTATGTTATATCATGACATGAAACACTATCAATGGCAAAGGTTTCATATGGATGATTAACATTTTAGTCTTTGATAATGTGATATAGAATTTGTAAAAGTTGGTGTGGTTGGTGTTTTTATGTTGATTCCTTACACCTTGCTATAAGTAGACATAGCAGGATTCATAAGGCCTATTCAGATAAATATGTGGAATTTCTTATTTCTTGATAGTTGGAGAAGATTTTTCATTCCATGTTTTTCTGTCAAGTTTGAACAGAAGAACCAGAATCTTTTGCATATTGCATCAATTTAGTGTTGGAATGCAAGCTTGTCCAAGCATGAAATTTGTCAATCTGGACCACTTGCTATTTTCATGAAAGTTTCATGCTAAAGTTTCTAATTTCATATTTAATCATTGGATAGACAGGTATCAACTGGTTCATGGCTATACTGCACACATGTGGCATGATAAAGATTATTGCATTTAGAATTAAAATACTGGTGAAGCTATATGATCATCTTCTCTCTCAACAGAGTATGTTTCTGTACACCCGAAGCAATGATAAGACAGCGGTGTTGCTGCACCTGTTACGCGATGTCATCCAACCCAACCAGTTGACTGTCGTCTTCTTAGCTACTAGGCATCATGTGGATTATGTTAGAGAGGTAAGACCACGTCTCCAATAGCTTTATTATCTTGTTGATTCTGGTAGCACCATTTGTATTTGGGCTGGATTTGTAGCCTTTTCCACCTAAACAGCTGAAATATTTACGTGACATTATTATTTGATCTTATTCTGTCCAGGTTATTTGAGATGGGTTTCGGCCTAAATTTTTCTCTCTATCCCTACATCTCTACATGGGGATTTGATTTGATTTGAATTCATTCAGATAATATTACACAAAAATAATTTTTCAACAAAACCCATATAAATTTGTTTCCCAGGTATGAAAAAACAATGAAGTCTGCAAGATAAACATAATGATGACTCATTTTCTCCTTGGTGTTAGCATACGCGATCATACTTGATTAATACACTTCTCTGAAAATTACCATGTGCATTGCCAGACTTATTAGCCCGAATTCACAAAGGAGGTTTATATGCATCATATGACGCGTTTCGATGCGTTTCGATGCGTTTCAGACCAGGGTTCAGACAAACCTTGGTCTGAAATGTGTCAAATTTGCGTCATATGACACACATAAACCTAGGTATGTCTACAAACCTCCTTTGTGGGTGTGTTTGTCTTTAGCTTTCTGCCCGTTGCGCTATATAAATATATATCTCTCTCTTTCTTTCTCACTCTCCCAGTTGCTAGAACAGGCAGGCATCAGCAACACCTACATCTACAGCGCCCTTGACCAAGCTGCGAGGAAGATCAACGTTGCCAAGTTCACCCATAAGAAGACTCACATTCTCCTTGTGACGGACATTGCTGCCCGAGGTATCGACATCCCTATGCTTGATGTTGTCATCAATTTCCACTTCCCTGGCAAACCAAAGCTCTTTGTACACAGAGTTGGTACGTATGTATGTATGAATATTATGTGATGTACAAGGTAAAGAAAGACTACAACTATAATAATAATTATTATTATAATAAAATGGTGCTTATAAAGCGCTTTCCAACAAAATCTCTAAGCGCTAATTATGAGAGGTAGTTGATGCTCCAGTTTAAGCTGTGATAGCTACCAGTTATCTCTGTTTACTTTTGCCTTCCATACCATTGCACTTAAATGAACAGAGTGATAGAGCGACAGATCTTGTGTCCCTTTAAGCTTAGGATAAGTATTGTGCTAATCCCTAACACAGTCCATCACAGGAGAGAATCTTGTGAAACCATCCAAAGCCTAAGTTTGCCAGCATCCTATTGAAATGCATGTCCTAAAATCAAGTAACACTACAGTGGGATATTGCTTTACTTGTACTTACAACGGTTTTATGAGACACTGACCATGGGGATGTTTCAGAGGCTAAGAACGACTTAAAGTTGGACTTGAACTATGGCAGGCCGTTCATGCCACTGGTTGCTCTCACCATTCCTGGCATTGGTTTCTCAAGGGACGTACAAATCGAGGTCACAAATCTACAGAATATACCTTTTTAGATAATATTATCTAAAGATCATAATCGAGCGAGCAATGGTGAGAGCAATTAGTGGCATAAATGGCCTGCCATAGTTCAAGTCCAACTTTAGTCGATCTTAGTCTTTGTGAAACACCCCCAGATTCCCATCCGCCCATGACTATCATCCACCACACCATTCATCTTGATGAGCTTCACCCAACCCTGTCCCCATCATCATTCTCCTCTACAGGTCGTGTTGCCAGAGCAGGAAGGACCGGTACAGCGTACTCTATGGTAGCACCTGATGAGCTTTCATACCTCATTGATCTTCACCTATTCCTGGGCAAGGACATTGCTTTCTTCAAGAATGATGACAAGATGTCAGAAGAAGGTACTGTCAAGTACCTGTAATCTAGTTTCATGCACCATGAAATGAGAATTTTGTTTTGTTTTTCTCTGTTGAATTATTATCTTTCAGAAAAACATGTTTCTATTTCCTCAGTTAAGCAATTTCATCAACACTGTCTTTGTTATTACTTGTTAGTTTAGTGTGACTTGCTATTGCTGCTGTCATTAAAATACTGTAAAAGTTGAAATATTTGCGGTACATTAATTTTGGCAGATTTCACGCTAAGATTGACGAGCCCGAATTTTAGAACTTGTGAAAATATAAGCATGACTCCTTATGCCTGTTTTGAACGGGCTAAAATGCATGCTACACGAATTTAAGAACCAGCGAATATGTTTTGGGGTAGCTGAGCGCAAAAAATTAATCATGCAAAAATAACAGCGTTTATAGTACTTAACAAATGTATTTTTTTTGTTAATGAGAAATTTCCTGCTTCAGAGAAAGGATATTGTTGAAGCTTTGTAGTGTAAGGTCCAAAAGAATGTGTTTTGGTCCAAACATGCATGTTTAGGGGCTCAAGGATTGATTGCATGTGCTTCTTCTCTTGGTCACATCATGGGACTATAAAGCTTCATTATTTTTTTGGACCCACTTTGGTCTCATAAATTTAATTACTTGTGTTTTTCTTCTTCAGATGTCTCGGGTAAGCTTGGTCGGGTTCCTCAGTCGGTGGTCGATGATGAGGAGAGTGTTCTGAGGAACTTACACAAGATGAGCTCAGATCTTACTAATCTGAAGAGACCCGCCTTCAATGCCATGAAGAACTACCTCAGGTCACGACCTTTGCCCTCTCCAGCCAGTGTCAAGAGGTCAAAAGAGATTGACCCAATGGACATCGCCTATCATCCCATGTATGGTAAGGAGTAGTAGGATAGGTAGCAACCATTACATTTTTTAGATAAGATTTTAAGTTGCTGTTACTATTACTATTACTACTTCAGCAACCAGATCTGTCATATTTTTCAGTGCTTCAGATCGAGAATCTATTTTACGAGTAGCAATTTCATTTAAAGAGTTGATGGTAAAGGTATTAGTAGTAGTAGTATAAATGGTGTTAGTAGCAGTAGCAGGGCTGTTGAATATTAGAGATCTTCAGTATTTCCTTCCATAAATTGGTTACAGAAGAAGTAACAGCAATGTCAATGGTAGGAAATACATTATTGGATGTGTAAAAACAAAAACCACCTGAAAAAGATTGAAGAAATGAAGAATTATTGCATTAATGTTGGTAGAAAAATATCAATAAGATAAAGAGATGTTTTACTTTTTAACAGGAATACAAGACAGTGACCTGGAGAGCACAAGAGTACAGCTTGTTGATGAAGTCAAGGGTTATAAACCACGCGCTGTAAGTACTCTAGCACTATGCTTGACAAACATATCTTTGAATTAATAAATCCAAACAATAATGATAATAACAATAACAATAACAATAACAAATTTATATGGTGCTTAATACAAAATATTCCTGGTCATTGGATTCATTCATGCACAGTGTGCACCTTCTCGACTCCCTGGGGAGTATTCCTACCATATGGTCACCGTGAGCCTCGTGAGGGCATATGGCAATCACTAAGACAAAGGGTTTCATCATCCTACCAGGTCCCTATTTCTTTCCTAGGTATGGAGGGGCAAATATAGATTAATGCTTTGCAAAAGGACATTAGTGCCGTGTCAGGGATCAAACCCACGACCTTTGTGCTTATACAACAGCAACCAAAGATAGCATTCATAAATGTTGGAAGAAACAGCATTGAACATTTGCAAAATACATACACAGAAATGGAGGCATAATTAAATACCACATATAATGAATCAGCAAATAAGTTCCCTCTCTCTCTCACATGGTGCACCCGCAAGCCTTCTGTATATCTACATCACCATGCAAGCCGATACTTACAAGCAGCATCTAACTTTTATATTGTTTTGCATTCTGCTTATGACAAAATTTGAAAGAAGTTCTGTAGATTCAAGCAGGATTGCATTGTACAGTGAAATCTTAACCTAAAGACTATTGAAGGGAGATTAGACAAGCTGGCTTTATAGGCAAGTAGTGTTTATATATCCTTTTTTTTAAAGATACATGTACAAACAAATATTGTACAGGGGAGATCAACATATTGGTCCTCCTGTACAGATGGTTGCTAAAGCGTGTTTGACTATATTAATTTTGTTTAATTATAATTGTTAGATATTTTCATTATTAAATTTGTAGACAATTTTTGAGATCAACTCCACCTCCAAGAACAGTGCTCATGGTGTCATGCAATCCAAGAGGAGGTTACACAACACTGTGATCAACAGGAACGTACAGAGGCTCGAGGAGAAGAAGAAAGAGGAGCAAGCAATGAGAAGGGTTGCCATGGAAACAGAAGATGATGCAGATGCTGAGGTTTGTTTCATGTGTTTGTATTATGTGTTTATATTGTTCATGTCTAGTGGATCATTATAATAATAATAAGATACATTTCTATACCGAAATTTGATAAAGCCTTTAAGTGCTTCTTCTTTATTTAGAAATATCTAATTTGAAATTCTTAATTATCCCATGTGGTGTTGATCACCAGGATGGTTCCCATACTCTGCGTACTCTGACGGCAACTGGTCAGCGCTTGATTTCCCACACGTTCAAAGACTATTTATCTTTAGCTCTTGACCAAACTCTGTACCTAACCCTAGTTTCAACTTAACCTTACCTAAAATTCAATTATAACCCTAACCTGAAATCTCTGTTTTGGTCAAAATAAAGCTTGGAGTATATGTTGCCGTGGAAATATTGTTTCACCAACATGATATGAAGTAAAAAAATTAGAATTTAATTACCACAGCATCAACAGCAGTCTATTCACTGCTGATATTCTATGAATAAATTGATTTGGATTGACTTGATTTTATGTTACCATTGAGTTTAGGTGATTATGAAGTAACAATAAATTATGGATGGTTTATGAAAAGGATAATGGTAATCGTGTTACAGAACTTGCTACATATGACTTTGCTGATTGCTGATCGATTCTCACATTCTGTGATCAAACGCAAACAGTGCCCCATTTTACAAAACTTGTCATCAGTAACAAATGACAGCTTTTATTATAAGCTAGTGAAATCCTTGCTTCTGATTGGTTATCAGCAGATTTGTCACTGGTTTTTGTCATTTTTCATTGAAAAAAGGCTTTGTGAAACGGGTCCCTGATGTACAGTTACCATGCTTCCATGATTGTTTTTCTATGTATCTCAATCAGAATGCATTCTCCGTTGTGATCGGGCCAGCTGGCAAGAAGAGGAAGGATGTGGGTGGTGCTCCTCAGGGGTCATTGCCTTTTACTCAGAGTGCTGTCAGGGATGAGAATGTGTTTATTGCATACACAGCACCAGACAAACAGCAAGAACAAGGGTAGGTATTTAAATTAACAAATAAATAAACAAACAAACAAACAGACATTGAATTACATAAACAAACACCCTTTTACATAAATTGTGTTCTGTAGTGACAATGTCTGCATCTGATATACTGAACCAGATAAACAGATAAAGCAAGCATAAATGTTCAACCACACAGATAGCAAGTCACAGAAACCAAAAGCCTTTTTCATATTTAAAGTCATCTTATGATTTCTTCATCTCATCCCCTTCCTCCAATTGGTGCAGCCGCTGTTCAATAAATTTAAATTTGGATTGAAACTTTGTTGGGAAAGGGGATAGAACCAACCCTTCCTCATATTGGAAGAATCAAAATACTATCAGAAAATTAATCAGATCTTAAAAATGCTCCTGATGTGACTAGAAAACAAACAATCATACTTGAACTTAAAGAGAAGGTTGAGTTCTGGGAAAAGGTGAAAAACAAATTGTGAGCGTTATCATTGTATCATGCGTGTGGAAGAACACCAGGTAAAAAATGCTCCCTGAAAAGCATGGCTCTTCAAATGCCTTTATATTCTAAATATGGCATGTAACATCAGGAAAGATTTTTATGCCATATGTTCGTGTAGTCCCATATACATCTTTCTGTGTACAGTGTTTGTAACTTCACCAAGTTGGGCCAAATTTTGTATCATTTTGATGATTCCAGAACCTTGCAGCATACACCAATACTTATATGCTAGATGATCAACATTTTCTGATCCATTCCACAACGTTTCTTTCACCAATGCAGTTGCATGACCAGAACTCAACTTTATCTTTCATATTTTGTTTGTCTCTTATTTGCCTCTTTGTGATGACATGATACAGGTTGAGCATAGAGAACAACTTTGAGAAGCAAGCAGCTGGAGCGGTGCTAGACTTCACACAAGACGAGTCGAGGGAGATGAGAAAACAACAGCAGAGAGTCAAATGGTGAGTAAGATGAGGATTTTATTCATGTCCATTTGATTCCCCAAATCCTTTGCTCTTGTCACCAGTTAGCCACTTTCAAAACACAACTAAAGACATACCTATTTCAGATTGCTTACAATTAGTCACTGCTTTTTTGTCTTTCCCAGTTAGAATCATCAGCGCCTTTGATGAAGCAACTAGATATTGGTGCTTTATGAATTCCTGGATTTGATTTGATTTGATTCAATGTTTAGTTCAACTAAAGGAGGCAAATGATAGATTAAGATGTGATGGTATAGAGGGGGGGGGGGGTGTTATAATAGAGTTATATGCATCATGAAATATGAGAAAAGCACTATAATTGTAGTTGATATTGAATGAATCTTTATGGATTGTGCATCTGTGGCACTCAACGAAAATGGAACAGGCGAATTTCCCTCCAATTCTAGACATTTATGGAATCATCTGAACACACAATGATCACAATAATGCTCTGTGATGTTATTATAATACTAATAGTTCAACTGGTAATCTAAAAATTATAGTGTCTTTTATTTCTCTCACGTGTATTCTGTGTTTGTTTTATAATAGTGCAAAAGGAATTATTTGTTGTTGTTATCCATATCTTTCCCCCATATTTTTAAAATAACCTGATTCTGTTAACTCTCTCCATCTCCGTCTTTATCTTTTGAACCTCACCTTCCCTATCTCTGTATGCCCTTCTTCCTTTGTTAATACTTGTCTCCTTTTCTATAATCAGGGAGAGGAAAAAGAAGAAGTTTGTAGGAGACGGAGGGAAAGATGGCAAGCAGAAGAAGATTATGACGGAAAGTGGGAAGTACATCTCAGCATCCTACAAGAAAAACATGTATCCTTGACAAAATCTAGCATTGACTTATGATATTTAAAGGATAAAAGTTGCTTTAAAAAATGTATTTTTCTTCTCAGATGGTAGTTGAAGGGTAAAGATACTTAATAACTGGAAGAATGTTTGACCAGCTATGGTTAGCAGGTTTGCTAATATTGCACAAGAGGGCTCCATCTTATTGAAGCGATCCACGGCGAGACGGCCCGGTGGCCAAAGCCGCCCCGCCTAGTACCGACTCAGAAAATGTTAAAGTATCACTTAGGTTCTTGAAGTGTAGAAAACGAAGATAAATCAAAGTCATTAAAACAAATTCTTGATTGGAGTTGAAGATTTATTAAAATAAACATAGAATTAATAAATCACGAAGTTCATCTTTTGGGGCTGGGCAACCCAATTGAAGCAAATTAGCAACTCATGTCGGTATCGTAACAGAAAAAAGGTCCCGCTCCAGAGACGCAACTCGGTTTTTATCCCTCCGAACTAACACGCCTCGTCCTCCCAAAAATTGAGGCGTGTCACACAGACGCTTTGCGTAATATCAATCCACCCATAATTAGTTTCCGTATTAAAAGGTCCTATATTTCTTGGCGAATTTACCCCCCCGGATATAAGGCGCTCCGGATGATCCGCATCTCTATTCCTCACATACTTCTTTCACGCACCCACCTGTGTCTCTTACATTCTAATCTTTCAAACAAGAGATGCAAATCACCCGGAGACCCAACAACCCTGGAAATTAATTCAATGAATATAAAAAGGGATAAATGTTGCTATGTCCATCCACACTAGCGAACCCACATGCTTCTGGCTATTACACACCTGTAATCCTCACTTCCTCTCTCATACTATTTCGATAGTGTGAACAGACCCGGCAACAAGGAAAAACCCTTCCAATTGTAATACAAATCTATTTCCCAAATTTGCCTAATTAAATTTAAGTCAACTGTGGCGACACGCCCAGCGACACCTAATCCAATCGGCCAAGCCGAAAAAGTAGAGCCAAAATTAAGAGCGCAACGTCTCGGAACAGGTGTTAAAAATAGCATACAAGGAATTCACCATGTATGTTTGTAAAAATAGTTCTAGCGAAATCTACCAGGAATTTGCCTTGTACATGTACGTCAATGAACCTTTGAGGAAAACGTAAACACGAGAATATCCATCTCATTACAAACTCCCCTACTGAAACGATCTGTCCCATAAGATCGCAACAAAAAACGCCCAAATTTCCCTACAGCAGACTATGAAACCTACCACTATCATGTCTCCAACTACTTGTAATTATAGCCTGAAACTGTTTGCGAAGCTTAGGGAAGTGTCACAACCCCGGCGGTCAGAGCCGGATACCCCAGACCTCCTCCAACCGGTTGTTGGGACTTCTCCTGCCACTTGTAAACATCCATATGTAATCAGAAACTACTTAAAAATTGAAATATACTAGTGAAAATACATGCACCTTCTCCGAACACTGGAATAGACAACGATACGTGTAACTGGAAAAATATAAAAATTTGTAATATGCAGACCTATGGAATATACAACCAATTTCAACACGCAACTAGGCAAAAATCACCATAACCATAAATGACCCCAATTACATCCAAAAATTGTTTCGACACCCACACAAAGTCCCGGTGGAAGGAACCATCCGACATAAGTCGGTTGAATTCCTCCACACAGGAGTTGAATTCCCTTAGAGACAGAGTCGAACCGGCCCATCTCCGAGTCCGTGGGAGCACGGGGAGGAGAAAGATCGCCGTGGGGAACAACCCCCGACGACCCAACTCATCCACGAACTCCCACAGACGCCGAGCCACGGTCACGGGCTCCGCATGACTCAAGTCGTTGGTACCCAAATCGATGACCAACACAGAGTGCGTGGAGCTGGCCTCCTCCAGAATACGAAAATACCTTCTCAGGTTAGCCCGCATCCTGGAGAAGCTCAGCCCCCCCTCTCCGTAACACTGCACAGAACGCTGCTCAGCAGCTACGATAAGTGACAACTCCCCAGCCCGCCGGCTCAGAGTCCGGCGGACAAAGCTATGACCGAATAAGAACATGACTCATAAAATCAGGACGGGTGCCCAGCCCTAAAACAGTAAAAGTTTGATAATTAAAATTATTAACTCTCCAATTTGATGTAAACGACTAATTACCGTGATAATTAACCGTCAATATTACGGTCCCTTCAATAAAAATACGAAATATCCGACTGTACATAGAATATCTCAAAACTTGTAGATAATCAGCGCAAAACTGATTTTGGTAAATTAAAAGGGTTAGAATGTCTACCCTTAGTTTGTCTTTGCGACCTTCTTGGGATGGCACCATCCTGATTCCCTGGAACATTAACATTATCATCTCCGGCTCGCCCTGCTACATCCTCCCCTACTGGATCTATACCTACTTTATCAAAATTAGGAACCAACATATACTCGCCCATGTATTTATCTTGCTGTTTACGAGGACATACTTTATCATGTTGGTGTACATCAGTGAAATTAGGATCAAACCTAAAATTATCCTCATTTAACTCTACCGCCTCTGTGTCAGAGGGCACTTCTCTTAACAATTTACGATTAATCACCTTTACTTCACCTCCATTAATGGGTCGAACATGATAGACATCTTGGTGGTCATTATGCCAGATAACTTATCCAAATAGACATCCTCTAACTTATGCCTCTTATCAAATGCACATCTCTTCAAAAATACAGTTGAACCAATACTTGGATTTGAAATTATCTGAAATTATTGCATCTACTCGAGCCTTATTGCGGGATGCTAATTTCTGGGTCCTCTCTTTGACTACTTCCTGAGCCCTACTAACTAAATCTACTTGATTTTGCACAAAGTTCTGTTCCCACTCAACATCATCCAAACCTAAAAGGTGATCTAAGGGAATGCGCTCTTTTCTACCAAACATGAGAGCAAACGGGCTGACCCCAGTAGTTGTATGAGGGGTAGTGTTGTACATATATACCAAATGAGGCAATAATTCAGGCCATCTACGTCTATCACGTTGATCAAGAGACTTAATTAAACCAAAAAGGGTCCTATTAAAACGCTCGGCTTGACCATTACCCTGAGGGTGATATGGAGTGGTATGCGTCTTGGATATACCATAAAGCTTACATATTTCTTTGATCACATTACCCTCAAAATTACGTCCCTGATCACTATGGAGTCTATTTGGAATACCGTACTTAGTAAACCAGTGCTCTTGTAGAGCCTTAGCTACAGTAGAAGCATGCTGATCCTTGCATGGAATTGCTTGAGCTAACTTAGTATAAACATCTGTAATAACTAAAACATCTTCGAAACCACCTTTACCTTTATCTAACTTAACAAAATCTATTGCCACTATTTCAAGTGGGCTGAAAGCCAACAAATGCCTCATAGGCATTCTGGACCGAGGTTGCATCTCTTTAGCCTTAGCACATTTCACACACTTCTTGACATAAGAACCAACCTCAGTATTCATATTTGGCCAAAAGGCCCTATTTCTTATTAAATCATAGGTCTTATTTCTACCTTGATGTCCCCATTCATCATGACATCCTACCAACACATTCTTACGTAAACATTGATCAACCCTCCCTCAAATTCATTTATTAGTTTCATTCATTAATCATTTTAACAACATAAATCATGATAGTGCATAAATCCATCGTAAATCTTTATACATTTTTGAAAGCCTATTAGTTTGAAAGTAACTATTGCAGTCCGGGCAAAATTAACAATTAATCATTTTTGCTCAGGTCTTGGTGCAAGTCTGAGCTGTATGACTTGTTTTATGGTCTGAGAACACAGTGGTAATTAGTTTCTTCAAGATGTGGACCATAGGCAATCAGTCTTTTGGTACCCTGCTTACAATCAATGTCCTGGAGGGTGTTTCACAAAGCCTTTTTTCAATAACAAATGAAGAAAAAAAAAATTAGTGACAAATCTGCTGATAACCAATCAGAATCAAGGATTTCAGTAGCTTATAACAAAACCTGTCTTTTGTGACTGATGACAAGTTTTGTGAAACGGGGCCCTGATTGTCATTTCCTGTTTGAAACAAATCTCTTTATTGATCCTTGACCCCATTGTGATGTCATCAGATACAAGGAGTGGTTAAACAAGAGTAAGGCCGATTCACGGGATCACCACCAATCTGACAGCGATAACGAAGATGGTGACAGGTCAGGTCTTAACAAAGGTGAGGGGTTGTACAAGCGTCACTTTAATACCAGTTTATGGATGTTATCAAATTCTATGCATGTGGTCCTTGAATTGCATGTAGTGGGATACAGGGGTATGTCAAATGAGCTGATTAGTCGGCACGAGGAGTGAAAGTATTTTTTAAAGCGTGTTTTATATTCCCATGTGTCCCACAAAAGAAGAGCCATTAAATAATATTTATTGCAAGAAACCTGGAACCTAAGCTTTATGTTTCGAGTTCACTTGCAAAATTACATAGGGAGAGAGAACAAGTTGTCCTTACCCAAGCATTTGTACTTATCAATTGATATCAATTCTGTTAATTGATTAATTAATGCATAAAATATATTCTAAAATTTTACTACAGGAAGCATCACAGGAAACAGAGTTCGTTATGGTAACGGGCGAGGGGGCAAGCACTCGGGAACGAAAAGGAGGGGTCGTCATGAAGACTCTGGCACGGAGAGAGGTCAGGGGTCAAAGGGTCAGCATGGGGGTGAACTACGGAGAAAGGAGGAGATCCTGAAGGACAGGAAGATCAAGGGGCGCAAACGAGAGCAGAGTAGACCCAGGGCCCAGCGAGAAGGGGGGAGAGGTGGAGGTAGAGGAGGTGGAAGAGGCAGTGGTAGAGGTAGGGGCGGTGGTAGGGGTGGTGGTGGTGGAAGGGGTGGGTTTGGGCGTGGTGGTGGTGGCGGTAGGGGAGGTGGCGGTGGTAGGGGTGGTGGTAGGGGAGGTGGAAGAGGAGGCAGAGGCAGGAGGTGACAATAGAAGACATTGCATAACTAATTTGTCTTGGAGGTTTTCTATCAGTAAGACCTTGTATGATGTTTGTGCTTTTTCATGTACAATGTACACAGTTGTCTTGATCTATTAATGCACGATGAAGTACACTTTCTTTATTCAGAATCATGTGATTTCTCTTCCCTCACCTTCAAAAATTGATGTTAGCCCGTTTACATTAGAATATTTTTGTGATAGATTGCCAGAAGAAATTGTTAATGTCCATTCCAGTATTTGTAGATATTGGAACAAAGTGAATTAAAAAGAACAAAAATATACAAGTAAATTGGAAAACCAATTTGCAGAATGAGTCAATATATTATCTCTACCAACGATATGCAAAATAAATTGCTAGTCTTTTGTCATATAAGAGTATATGAAAGGTAATTCGAGTTCAGATGATTGTGGAAACTAAACTTTCAAGATTAAATCCAAACTGTTTATCATCAAGAGTAAATGATATCTGCCCAACGGAATGCGTTAAGCTGTAAGATACTAAAAAACAGAGTGAATTGGAAGATAAAAAAGCATCAATTTATGTCAATTTTTCCCCAGTAATGAAGCAGACCCTTTTTAATTGTTATGTTTATCATGAGTATTAAATTTGATTCCTTTTCGATTTCAACTTCATATTTACCCTTTTTTCTGGTACTAAAAAGTTTAAGTACTGCAATAAAAAATCATAGAATTGTAAGTAGACCAACATTAAGGAAAGAGTACAAGAGCATTTGAATAGAATAAACAGACTATTAAAAACTATAAATGTATTTTGAGACATTTTTCTTGTATGTGCATGTGCAGTTAAGCAAGTTTATTCATCATACTCGTAGCTCACAACATCACAATCATTACATTTTGCATTTTATTCATGAGCTGCTGTTACTTTGGCATTCACATCTCTTGACAATTAAATAATAATAATAATAATAGTGGTGTCTTCTATAGTGAAGTGTGTCTGATTGTCAATTTTCTTACACAATGTGAATGCATAATAGTGACATAGAATATTACACTTTTGTAAAGATATGATGACTGTGCTAATAGTCTACCTGTATACAGTGGATGTATTAAATGCTTGTATATTATATCAAATATATCATTATTCACATTGATAAGGGGCAAATCATATCAAATATATTACACTTAGTACCATCAAATGGGGGTATATAAGGGCAATAGGAACAGATATAGTGATGAGAATACTGAAATTGGTAAAATTTATCTCAAGATTTAAAATAAATTTATAACAATGGCATTCTCACTAGGGACTTTTAGATTGAGTGGACAAGAACGGCGTGAATGTCAACTGATCATGCATGTCTATGGCAAGCCGTTTTAACATTTATTCCCATTTCTTGATACCAAGAATTCAATTCTTGATATCAAGAACTCAGAATAAATGTTTAAATGGCTTGCCATAGACACGCATGATCAGTGGACGTTCACGCCGTTCTCGTCCACTCAATCTAATAGTCCCTATTAAAGAACAGTTTTCATAGGACTTTGTCTTTTTTGAAAATATGTTGACATAAATTCAGCAACTTAAAACATTATTTAAACCATGTTGGTTTTAGTATAATTTTTTTTTTTTAACTGTGTTTAGTCAATGTGAAGGAATGTATAAATCAGGAAAAATATTCACAAATACAGGAACAATTTTATTTGCTTTTGTGAATTCTCCTTCTCCACACTGTTTTGTTGTTACACTCATTAATACAGACTTTACATATGGTCATCAAGTCACACATTTCCCAATATTACAGTGATAAAAAGCAGTACAAACAAAAGAACGTCATACATCAGGAATTCTGAAAAGTGAGAACAATATTGCACCCATTTACTATTCGCTATATACATATATTAACAGTTAAGTATGTGTATATACATCATTGTATATTTTTTTAAAGAAATAAACATGGAATGAAATCACTCTTGAAAGCAGGAATGTTGTTACTGAGATTTCTAGGAAATAAAAATCGACCTTCATAACAAGTTAACAAGCTCCTTCACATCTTCAAATTAAACTACTAAATAAAGCTTTCATATCATCATAAACAGATTTCAATGCCACATTGGCATTGACAAACATGGATTTTTAGAGCGACTGTGGGGTTAAGGTAAGCGCAATTATAAAGTTATATTAATCTGAACTGTAGGTACAACCCATGGCAAGATGTACTGTACATCACTTTGAGCTTACCCAATTAACACAAAGTCAGGCATGGGAATTTTTTGGAAAATGAAATTGCACTATGCATCAAGAAGGGGTTAATAATAAACTTATAAATAAATTAGATGCCAACATGTTAGCAGTAAAATGTTATAAAGAAACAGATATGATTATTTTTATCCCAATTTTTTCTAATATCAATGGGAAAATGACCCATAATGACTTTAACAGCGCTATAGTGCAAATCACCAAGCACTCTTTAAGTACTTCAAAAGTACATTTTAATTTCTACAAGTATATTTCCATTTTTGTAATTTGTAACTGATTACGTTCAAACTTGCATCACAGTGCTGCTTACCATTAACAAATTGTGTGCTACATGGACATTAAAAGTGAAGTAGTACATGATGCAATGTAAACAACAGTAACTGGACATTCTTGTGGTATAAAATAATTCTAAAAAATAAATTAAGTGTTAAAACATTTTGTTGACAGTCAAAATATCTACCGGTACTTTGCTCCTTTGAAATATCAAAATGGTTAAAACAAATCATAGTACTTCTTGAATAATACTGCACATTTGACAACATGGACATCACATCAAAGCGTTAAAAGAAACTAAAAACAAAACATAAGATAACGGTTAACTTCATTCAAATGAAGACAATTCTAATGTAGTAAATAAATCAATCATTTATGGAAATTTGTAAATTATTTGTACAAGAACAAATTTTTATCATAACTCTACATACTTTAGAAAGAGCTTGAAAAGCTAACATTAGTTCCATATTCCTAATGTAAAAAAGATTACAAATGCATAGATAACAAAGAAACAAAACGTTACATACGTTCACAGTATGATTTGGAATAATAAAAACATGATCTTGCACATAATAACTGCCAATGTCATCATAATTCAGTGTAAACCTTAGATCAAATAATGTTCTCATTCCTTTTGAAAGAATACACAGACAGTATTTACAACAAAATATTACAGAAAATGTTTTCATTTAGAGACTTTTATAGTTTGTGACATAAAATCAGTTAAGATAAAAAAAAAAAATTAAAAAGTATTCCATTAAGAAAATACCCTGGCAATATTGTAACAAGTACCACCTCAATGATGACAACAAAACAACAAAATATTAATCATTGGCTGAAATATTTCTTTCTCACACAAGCACCACATGAAAGATTAAAGAGCATAAACACTACCAGCAAAACAAAAACCATTGCAACTGTGAACTAACACAGCAATCGCATTTCATTGCTTTTGGAATGTAATCAATTGACTCCTTCATTTAAAATTTAAAAAAATAAATAAACACTCTTTCCATAAGAAATAACTGGGTGTAGATTCAGTAAAGCAAAATCCTTTATTAAGGATTAGGATCAGCTCATGGAGAAACGCTAATATTAAGTACATGAATCTCAACTGCACAATTGCAGAAAGTAAAGGGGAAAAATCATTCTCAGGTCTACCAATAATAATGATATAACCTTTCAACACCAGATAATTGGTCACTATATTCAAAGAATTCAGGAATGGTGATTTCAGTTTTGTAATTGATTTAAATACTTTGAAATTACTTGTAAGGTACATCGAGGGCTGTTAGGATATAAATGCTCTGATTGTCTGGCGTTGTACAAAGATTACAGTTAGCAGTACTATAAAGGATAAAACATTTCAGTCATTATGGCACAGGGTGTTGTTGGTTCAAGACCTAGGCTGGGTCAGTTTGCTAGCAGTTCTCAGAAGGATTAGCTCCTTACACATCAAGGTTCAACCAAAACTTCATGATGAAGGTCTACAGTTTTACATTTACATCTGCATATTCAATTCCCTTTTAAGCATCAGCAAATGGACAACACATATAAGCACGTCCATACCCAAGCACAAATATTCTGGCCTCTCACATCTTTTGGCGATGCACCTTTGTGAATCTAATTTTCAACATGATGCACAGATAGAAGCTCTCTTTGGCTGATAGGGGCCTTGCCATGGCAAGCATCATGGAGATCCCCAGTAGAAGTATTGATGATGATGGATGCTCATTTTCTTTTACAGCACTCTCTCCATCAAACTGCACGATCATAGTGAAATGGCCCATCTGCTTGAGATCAGGCCTTGATTTTCCATAACTACAGCGACAAGAAAAATTGGGGATAAAATTAGGAAGAGTCACAATGAGAAGAACAATACACTGTTCAAAGAATTGAAAATTCATCTAACAATGTTCATAACTGTACAATATTATTAATATTAATACACGCTTAAAATCACCCACAAATAGGTGGGTTATTTAAACTACAATTGCATAGCATCATGTGAATTGATGTGATTTGCAGTTCGATTACTGATACGTATGGATAAAACAGAAGAAACCGCTATCCATAATCTAACCACAGCAACAACAAAAAGCACATGCACTGAGGCTAATTTCCCTTTGAAGCCAAGAAGATCAATGAGCCATTTGCAATGCAATGGCTCGCATGCATGGAGGAAATAACACAACCCTGTAACTTTATTTACTCCGACCTTACCTTCAATTTGAATCCCAAAAGTTCTGTAAGGACTCCTGAGAATGCAGACAGGACCAGGACCCGAGTGATGTTATAGAGGACCGGGTTCATGGATAGACCAGACAGCTTGAAGGGTGTCTCTACCTCCTGATGGTGGATTGGTGGGTGCCAGGTCAGGCAAGGCAAGCCAGGTCAGGTTGGATCAGGTGAGGCACGATAGTGGGATGGAATGGGAACAAACAACAGAAAATGAACAGCTGTGAGATGAAAACCACTATACCCATGCTGTCATGAGTCACGTATGGGTCAGATATCATACCTGCCAACATTCAACATTCATTTGAAAATAAGAAATACGTACCCGAGGGCGCATACATGAACCTGTGTATTGAACAGGTAATCGCACAGCCTTACCATGGCCATGTATACAGTGGCAGAGTAACTCTCAAATCGCGGCACATGGTAAAACAAGCTAAATTTGGCTTTAATTTAAAAAAATTAAAAAAATTGGTCATTCAGAATTTTGAAAAATCTGAATATTCTGATTAATTGGAACAGTTGGCAGGTTTGATATATGGCTCGTATATTTGATTGCAATTCTAACTCAGCTCAGCTAACAAAAATTAAATAAACATTAATGATATATGGCTGTCTAAATGTACCTTTACATGTATCACAAACCCCTATCTCTAATCCTACTATTAATGTTATATTTGAAATTTCGAATGTGAAGACAGTAGAAAAGTTCAGAAGGTATCTTGAGGAGAACAGAAAGAATCATGATACAAAAGATGTGTGATGTAAAACTATCGATAGATCAGATAGAAAGAACATAAATGAGCTCATTGAAAGGTTGTTCGTGAAGTAGGCAACTTGGCGATCACTACATAACACTCAGCCAGCTGGTAAATACACTCCCGAGCATACATCCGTGTGCTGCCCTCTATTTGCCCACACATGAGCAACTTTAATAAATGATGATGATGTTTTGTTCACAATAACAAGATCCTATTTTCACTAAAGACAAGAAAAGATGAGAATTTAATGACTAAAAGTATAAGTACGAGTACAAGGTATATGACCAAGCTGCATGTACCAGATCCATGTATGGACAACTACCGCAGGAAAACTTTGCAAAAGACAATGATGATGCACAATCGTGAACATCTTTTTTTCATAAATATAATAAACAGATATTTGGTAATGGTACATGTGGCAATAATACACAACATATATTAACAACTTTTGACCCATAGGCAAGAGTAAACGCCCAATGCTGATGATGATAATGGAGATATAATTGTGGAAGTTGAAGCTGGTGGAGGCAATGACTGTCATAGCAACAGTGATGACAATGATCATCATGATCTCAACTATGATAAGGATTATAATGTTAATAAGGGTGGTTAAAGTGGTCAAGAGGGTGATGGTCATGACGATGATGAAGAAGATGGTGATATTGATGATATTGATGGTGGTGATGATGGTGAAGATGATGATGATGACGATGACGGCGATGACGACGACGACGATGAAGATGACGATATCAGTGATAATCCTTAAATAATTTATATTATCCTGGGCCCAATGTAAGAGTAGACACTGAGCTGAAATCAATCTGAATTCTTTCAATCAATCATAATCTTGCAGTTGCTAATTCCTCATGTCAGGAATTGCGATTGATTAAAGAATTAAGTTGAACCTCAAGTTTGCTATCAATTTGATCAATCTCAACTCTTACAGTACCAATGACGACTACATGATAGTCTTATCATGGAGGTGTTGATAAGGATACCTAATGATGATGATTATGCTAAAACCACTAGATACATTTGTATAGTGGTTGTGCTTTATAACTTGAAAAATTGACAATAATATCAGTAATTGTAGTGGTGACGAGAAGATGATAATGTCGCTAACAATATTAAAGACTAAGAGTTAACAGTGTTAGTTTTGATGAAGACATTGATGAATTTTATTGCAAAATGAATCATATATCTAATTAAAAGGCTGATGTTAATGCCAGCAAACAGAAGTTGAAGAACAGTGGATAAAATTATTTTATGGTAAATGAGCTGATTACAATGATTGATACTATATACACTGTAACACCGAAAAATTTACAACTATTGTCTCAAAATATGGCTAAAATGGAAATGTACATGACATATTGTGTCAAAAGTCAAAATGTATCTGTGAGAATTATACAATCACTAGACCCACTTAATCTGACTAAAACATATAATATAGAGAGCTAATGAAACTAATCTGCTGTGGTGGAATATTTGCATGTTTGTGACGGTGACCCAATCCAAGGCACACTCATTGAAATGACTGACAACTAAATATATATAAACCAAACTATCATGAATTAGATGCCTTTTCTTTCAGAGAATACCTTTGTAGAATCCACATCCTGGAAATGTAATAAGATCAAACTTTCAGGATTAGCTCCTGAAATTATAGCCCTCGGACACAACATTATTTTCAGGTTTAGTACCGCTATTCACAAATCCTCTACGTTTATACTGCGCTTAGAGCATAAAAACAAATCTATTTTTGATATGATTTCAGCAATGAACCATATTTTTCAACTGTAAAGGGAACTGGATCTTCACTACAGGGGGTAAGAATATAATACAGATTAAAATTCACAGACATACAATACTGTATAAACCAATATTTTTGCATAAAGATATTTTTGCAGATCAAATGTTCAAGGACAAATTTGCGAGTTATAGATTTGACACTCACAGCTCGTAATGTGAAGACAATGTGTGCGACATGCAACAGAGCTTATTTTAGTGTTTAATTCATGCAACATTTCTTGCTGAAAATAGTTTTGCATGTTGTTAACTTAATGAGTGATTCACGAAATTTGCAAAAACAACCCCCCCCCCCCCCAAAAAAAAAAAAAAAAAAAAAATGCTTATACAGTAACGCTTAATATGTAGTCGATAATATCAGATCCTGCTTTCAACATATCATCTACTACGACCAAGAAGGGCATTTACTGTATGTAAAGAGTCTTGAGTTAAAACCATTCTAGCTCTTAGGAGATGATATACTGTCCTGAAAATATGATAGTTGAGTAGCTTACCTTGAGCAGCTTTGAGGCAAGATTAAGTACGTTGTTGGCAAGCAAGAGGTTATCTTTCTTCTGAGGTTTCCTCTCCATATTTAAGTACAGGTTGATCTATATGTTGAATATCACATAGGAGAAAACATCGTTGAATTGAAATTATAATTTTAATAAATGTTTTCCATGTACAAATACAAGACAAAAATGTTTAAATCAAATAGAATAAAATAGTATCCGTGTTGATTTCAATAAACATTGGTGATTCAAACTAACAATATCTAGGTGTCTGATAGGTTTACATAGACCTCTATTCAAATGCATTGTAAAGGAGCAGTGCATTCAAATGACATAGAAACAATTAGCAACCTGTGATGGGTTAATGAGCAATAATCTTTTCAAATTCAAATCATCTAGTTATTGACTGATTATTTTAGCCAGTAGGCTTGTCAGGAAAGCAAGTCTGCTTGTTAAGAAGCTTCTTTCTGACAACATAAGACTAACATTCATAATGGAAGAATGAATGTCCCTGTGAATGTTCATAAAAATATGCTTTAAAACACAGTATTATTATATTATCATCATTAAAGGGAATTACGTAACCAATAGGGTATCCAGTAACATAGTACATGTTTAACATAGGCACACATTTTTTTCCATTGTCATTATAATCTAAAATGGCGACATGTTTTGTCTCTTCTCTTAAGACTAATATCATTAATTTCAAAATTATGAAAAGGCACTTAATATCAACAAATATGGACTACAACAACTCCAAATCACAAAAGAATCCCAGCTAGGCATGTTTTTTTAATATTTGATAGCCACAAACTTGAACATTTTCAGCCTTTTTTCTCTCCTCCCAATCATTTTTCAATTTTAGACATTTAATAGCATGAAAATAGCTTTAAACATGGACTACAATAACTTCACATGAGAGAATTATCCAAGGTATGAGTGATTTTAGGTATTAGAGTGCTTCATCATTGTAATTAGTTCACCTGCTCTGTTAGAAGGACCGAGGTGTTCCTGAATTTCTTGTTGATTTCTGAGCCCAGTGTGATGAAGCGCAGGAGGAATGGACTGAGACAGAACGTCCAAGCCACCACCTCCCAGTTATACAGCTCACCCAAGAAACTCATACTCCGTTGAAGGAGCTGTAGAGAGAGAGAGAGAGAGAGAGAAAGAAAGAGAGAGAGAGAGAGGGAGGTAGGGAGGGAGGGAGAGAGGGAGAGAGATAGAGATAGAGAGAGAGAGAGAGAGAGAGAGATAGAGAGTTATCATTGTCAATTTGCACTTCATCTATCACTGCTATGATTAAGTAAGTGGACAATAAGGTAAGCGAACAAACAGAGTAAGCGTCAATATTGATCCAAGAATGAATATGGATATTGAGGAAGACATAGAAGAAGAACCTGTTTCTACAGATATCCGATTGAGAAATGGAAAATACCCCACATATGAAATCACATGGTTGCCATTTAATGTCTGTTTAATTGTTCAGAATTTCTTTACACTTAAGGCGGTGTCACACAGAGGCCAAAAATCTGGATTTTAGTTATTCGGATTATAGTTATCCTCTTAATTGCTGTCTTTCATCAATTATCCTATTAAAAATCCTCTAACGGAGCAAGAAAATTCTCCCTTGAAAGGATTTTTCAAGGGATTTTTTAAGGGATTTTTCTGTGTGACACCGCCTTTAATCTGATTGTTCTTGAATTCATCCTGTTGTTTTTGTAAAACATGATATTAGGCGGTGTCACACAGAAAAATCCCTTGAAACATCCTTTCAAGGGAAGATTTTCTTGCTTCTTAGAGGATTTTTGAAGGGATAATTGATGACAGTCAGCCAAAAAGAGGATAACTAAAATCTGGATTTTGGGCCTCTGTGTGACACCGCCTATTACTTAAGACTTTTTTTCTGTCAGCTGGCAGATGTATTGTCAATTACACATTCCTCTTTATTGACAAATTTGAGCCAAGAAATTACTCCCATGCTGATTTCATTTAGATTTCTTCATTCCAGCAATGTACATATCACCCAGTTTACTATTGTTACAAATACTTAAAGTGTGAATTTCACACTCAAGGTATTTCCTGTGTAATATACAAGCTGTCAATCAAAAGTACTAGGCATGCTACATGACCCCATTTCTCTCTTAAATCAGCTATAGTTTGATGATGATGTTGTATCAAGTGTACAAAATTTCAATCTGTATTGGTATTCAGTGATTCCTTCTATAGGATGCCTCAAAAATGGCAATTCTATTTCAAATGATTTACTCTTTCATTAGATTATATTCATTAAGAACTTTGTACCGGACACCACATATCACATCTCACAAAATATCTTGCGCTTTCTCATCAACAAAACCTAATCCTCTGATTTTCCTTTTTCTTTGATTTCTTTGATTAAACATGACCTTGTTGCAACTTTCCCTAAATTCAGGTTTTCTCATAGCCATTTGGATCTTATGCACGCATTTAATTAAATGATAAATTTAAAATGAAATGATCAGAACCAAAAGCTCTGATTTGATTCACACTTCGTAGCCTGTTAGAGTAATGATATTCTACTTGCAATTTTTTCTGAAGCCTTGAGTATATGAAATCCTTTACTTGGAGCAAGGCAGGAGAAAACTGGCATCATTTAAAGGGAGATGGTCATTAGTTTTTAAGGCATAAATAGTCAATTTTGACTCAATTGCCTTAAGACATAATACAAAACAACAACAGTTTCCATGGGCAGAAAGTCATAAGTCACTGACACCCGACTTGGTGGAAATACCATTAATGGGTGTACAAGTCTGCACACAGCAAACCCATAGTCCCAATCTAGAAATACCCCCTCGGAGAGTCGTCAGGTGAGGAAAAAAGTGAGATAATGACTTTCCCATATGGGGGATGGGCAGAAAATGCAGAGCATTACATTAAGCCTGTTTGTCATTAATATGAGGGTTAATCCTGGTAATTGAAAATATCTGTTATTGGGTAAACATTCGAAAGGTGTAAAATTCCCCATGAAAACCCACTACTATGCATCTACACCGATGAAAGTAAACAGATGAAATTAGTCAACTTTGGGAGAGTGTGTGCTTACCTCTGTACACAGAATAGAGACCAACATGAGAGTGAGGAGACAAGCCGATGATACTATGACATTCACTGAACGCTGAGGACCTCGTTTCTGTCACAGAGAGTAAGAGAGAGAGAGAGAAAGAGAGAGGGAAAGAGAAAGAGAGAGAGAGAGAAAAACCTCATAAAATAAACTTTCTGCAGTGACTCTCGTCATACAGGAAATGTACATTTCTTCCATTCATAATTTTGAACTGAATACAACATAATTCCAGTGACCTGGGTAGTAATTAGCATTTCCCATACATGGCAGCATAATTGATTTGTTTTATTAGCTAAAATAATGGATTTCCCTAGTACAAACCAACATTTATTCAATATTCACAACAAAATTCCTGGACATGAGCTATTTGCCATCTCATTAAAGATTTGCTTGTATTCTATAAATAATCTAGACTCCTGATACAGACACCAGAGTTACAAGCTGACAATTAATACAAGTAATGACAAATAAATGACTATCCTTGGACTGTATTTACTTCAATACTTCTGTCAGAAATATCAATATTTTACTCAGTTTTGGGTTTAGATTAAATATTTAGCCAACTTTGGTATTCAGATGAAGTTTTTGGCTGAGTATTTAAGTCTAAGACAGCTCCCTAGCAAACTTAAGCCAATTATTGTTGAGGCCTTGATTGGAAGGTATATGGTTATCATGCGTTGCTATCTTAAGCTGCGCACAATTATAAGAGCATGCATTAATTGCTCATAATTTGACGTCATAAATCTTATCAGTAAGAATTCTGCTTTATGGTTGACTTGCTTAAGTAATATGCTCATATATGATCTGAATACAAGTATACAGATACAGAATACAAGAAGACAAATTAATTAGCTAAGTAAATTCTAAGGAAAAGAAAACTTATTCCTAAACTAGAGAGTAACTCACCTTTAGAAAGGACCTGAGAGAGAGCCATGCTTTGATGTTACTAACTCTGTCTAGTCTGAAGTGAGGAAGGGATGATTGTCGTGATCTACGAGCTGATGTCAGGTGCGAGAAATACTTTGCAAAGAGACAGCGCTAAGAGGAAAGACAAAAACAAATAGAATGGTTAGCGTATGGAACCATGGAAGCACATTCGAAGCCATGCTTGAGGATAGTGATTATCTATCCAAGCCCCATAGCCATCTCAAGAAATATGTCCCACAATGGTCCTATATTCTTATTGGTACTTAATGATGTAAATGTACACTACAACTACATTCTTCATACCCCTTGTAAATTTGATATTTTTGTGTTTTTTCGTAACTTAAAAATGAAAGGTGGGCCGGTTGAATAAGGACCTTTGTTGAATACTTTTAGATGTAAGCTTTAATATGTCACATTCTCAAGAATGATCATTTGAGACAAATCAGTTTTTCACATACTAACAAAATGACATAACTTGGAAAGGGTATGAATAATTTAGTTGTTAACTGTATATGATCATTCATATATATGACTTAGCTGCTCATCGGATGCCTGACCTAGACACTTAAAAACGTTTATTTTCATACAGAAAGGTACATTTTCAAATTTCATTCATTCAAACTGTCACCAAAGGCCATCAAAAGGGTAACAGCTATCCTCCATTAATTACAATCTACTTTTCTTCATAGTGTAATCATCTTCCAATACCTTGATTACAGGTTCTACAACATATCTTCACTTGAAGGAACAGTTCTGAAGAGGTGACCATTATACGGAGGTGGTACATGGAAGTGCAAGAGCAGGGGTGAAAATGAGCACTAAAAGAAAAAAAAGTCCCCCCCCCCCCATCAACCACGCCCCTCCCCCCTTGAGGAAAAGAGGATTCAGGGGGGGGGGGGGGGGGAATGGCATCTAACAACATCCCCCCCCCCCCCTTTTGAGTAAGAAAATTGGGAAAAATTGGGAAAAAATAGGAAAAAATAGGGAAAAATAGGGAAAAAGAGTGAAAAGTAGAGAATATAAGGGGAATATCGGGAAGGAAAAAATACTTGGGGAAACCGATTTAAATCAGGTAATTATCAGGCCTGGCAAGAGACTTTGACCATACTCTAATAAATTCAATCAGTAAGAAGAAATCTCTGACGATACCTGCTTATACGTTCTTTCCGCTACGGCGAGGAGAAAGAAGAGGAGTGAGCTCAGGTAGAACCTCTCAAACGATGTAAATACCATGACAGCGATAGAAGCCCAGTGCATGTGGGATAATGTATCTACGGCCATCATTGGAAGCTCAGGAGAGAACCATGTAACCTGACTGTCTCCTTGGTGGTGGGTTATGTGAATCCTACAACAACAAAAAGAAAGTCATAGATGGAGTCAAGAACTTAATTCAACAGGTCATGTTGTTATTTAGATAATAATCATCATAACTAAAACATAGGAGCTATGAACATAAAAATATGTTAATAATTTAAATTGATGGCTGTTCAACTGTAATGATTTTTTTGTTTGTTTAGTCATCTTGTATTTCTAATAAGCATATACAAACGTGGAGAAGTGCTTTTGTGTCATTTAGATACTGTGGAATTGGCCCATAGCAAGATCAAAGCTTGTAATGGCAACACAATGTACATGGATTTCATTCAACTACATGTATATTTGAGCAGGTAGAGATATACATCACGCCACTAGATAACCAATGCCTTGAATTGCCTGAATGAGTAATGTCACCCACCCTTATGATGTTACAGCATCTATCAAGAACCTGAAACTCTTTTAAATCAATCAAATTGATTTGTACTCATAGTGGAGTAGGTAAAGTAATCCTAGTAAGTGTATGGGAGCTGATGTGTGAGAGTGTCTTCTGTCTTTCCTTCGCTAACCCCCTTTTCCCCCCTACCCCCCCCCCCCCCCCCAAAAAAAAAAAATATATAAAAAAAAAAAAAAAATGAATAAATAAAAAAAAAAAATAAAAAATAAAAATAAAAAAAAATAAATAAATAAAACAAAAATTTAAAAAAAATCTTTATTTATTTACCTGTATGTGAATGGTATAATGGCAAGAATGAAAGAACACAAGAAGCCCAGCTTGATGTAGTCAGTGCTGGCCTGTATGGAATGAACCTTGGTATTGATTGCACAACTGATCTGAAGAACAGTCATGTCTGTCTTCTTACACACGTTGTCTTCAAAGATACGCACACGAACTGCAGAGAGAGAAAATATCATAGAATTGGTGATTTAGATACATGTTATGACCTAAAAAGAATCGTGCACTAAGTGCTGTCACAGCAGTTAACATACAGTTTTTTTTTTAATTTTAAGAGAAAGGTTTAAACCAATAAATAACTGATACAGGATGACATGTTTCTCCAGAAAATATAACAAACTTGGAGGTGGTATCATTTAGACCCCTCTCCCCAAAGTCACCCCTTTTAATATAATTTACTACTGATAAACTTCTGCATTTATTTTCTCATGCACAAAGAGGGTTTCAATGTTTTTGAACTTCCAAAGATTTTTTTTTCTTTATGAAAATTTTCTGGAAAGAGTTTAGAGGAAAACTTTAATGCCATCGACAGTCAATTGTCAAGACCTAAAGAGACTAAGTAGTATTTTTTAGTATGTATCAATATTCTAGAAGGTAAAGTTAATGCATGGGTGTAAAAACGATTTTGTTTTTTGTTTTGTATTAATACTGAAGGACATCAATGGAATGCATATCACTGCTCCTTTACCCTTTTTGATTCCGCTGCTAGAGATACTACTGGAGCTGACCGCACTGTGTATCAGCTTGAAGGGATCCTCAAAGTGAAGCGCTGCTCCCGTTCCCCTTCCATCCCACTCCTGCTCCCTCGCCGCCTCCTCCTCGTCTCCTTCCTCCGAGGTGGAGGAGCCGGTATCAGAGGAGTTGGCAGAGTCGCTGCTGAAGCTGGAGCCATCTGCTCCAGTCTCCTCCCAGCTGGCTTCATCTAGGTCAGAGTCAAGTGGTCGGGATATCGGCTGGAAGTATTGCTACGGGGAAAAGGTTATCAGTTGATTAAAGATGACATTTGGCATCTTGGAAACAATTGAAATTGTTTACAATACCTACATACTTTAGTGAATATAATGGACACAGTTAATGCATAAACATGCACCTGACTTTGTGTTTTACAAGTTGAGCTTATGAGGTTTTCAAATGATGCAAGATGATGAGATGAAAAGTACTTTAGGCCATCTGGTTGTCTGGTTTAAAATAACACAATGCTTAGTTTTGCATTCCTAGTCAAATCTTTGTAAGGTGAATTACAAGTCATCAACATTGTGAAGGTTGTTGATATCCATATAATGAGATGACCAATATCACAATGTATTTCAACATTAATAACTTGGATATCTTCAACGGATGCAAGCTGCAAATGATGTGGAATTTGGTGCTCTCACTTCTCTGGAACTACCAAACTCCTAATCACCACTAAACTTCACACAGAAAGCAATCACAATGTAGCAAGATCTTCAGCATCTTCTGAGACACATAGTGGTAGTGGTGGTCATTTTACCCGACTGCTAAGAAAGCATAAATGCTTGTTAATTAGCAACCAGGAGACCAAAGGCTTTAGGTCCTCTCCGAGGGGCCTGGTAAAGAGGATTAAAGCCTTACCAAAAGGCACTAGCGCATCGACTTGTTTTCGAACCCGGGTCGTGGGATTACGAGACCACTGCTCTACCGACTGAGCTATCGCGCCTCCCTCGAAGAAATTCCCCTCCTTCTTACCTCACTTTCCATCCTCATATCTGGTGAGGTATCCCCTTCTGAATCCTGTGACCCATCCGGCTTTTTCACCCTTGACCTTCGACCCTTCCTAGAAGCAGTCCTCGTCCCCTTGGGGTGGGGTAGGGGGTCCTGTTCCAGGGTCAGGCTGGCTGGGGTGCTGTCTGAAGGTGTCCCCTCACTGTCCGACATGTGCTGCAGGATCTCCTGTGGGCTCTCCTCTTCAACTGGTGAAAACTTTCTTGCATTTTCTGAAGAAAAACAAAAGTTTTATTTTACCAATTTTACACGATGTACAGTCATGCATGCTTTAGTAGTAGTAGTAGTAGTAGTGGTGGTTATTTTACCCGACTGCTAAGACAGCATAAATGCTTGTTAGTAAGCAACCAGAGGACTGACGGCTTAAGGTCCTCTCCGAGGGACCTGGTAATGAGGGCAAAGGGCACTAGCGCATCGTCTTGGTTTCGAACCCGGGTCACCAGATTACGAGACCACTGCTCTACCGACTGAGCTATCGCGCCTCCTAGTGACTAAATGAATGGACAGAGCATCTCTCTAAAAAGGCATTGCATCCCATCAAGTAGTGGTTTACATTGAAACATATCTTATACGAATATGTATACAAATATCACCTACTTATAAAGACCACTTAAGTCTCCTCGTCTCTCTCGGTTGGCCAATACCTTTGGTTCATTTGAGTAGATGTGTGTCTCACTTCAGATTATCCTATTAACTCTCTTTGCTTAGAATGCAGGCTTCTTTCAGTTTCATTAAAGAGATTTGTTTTGGTCATGACAATCTAATTTTATTCTTCTTATATTTGTTATACCCAAATTCAAAATATAGATTGGAAATAGGGACAATTATCTCATCATATAGTCATAAAAGTTGTGCAGGACAATTTTGAATATTAGTGTGTTTATGTATGAATGAGGCTTCAAATTTACCCCTCCTTCCCTCCAACAAATTTACCCCTTCCCTTTGTCATACTGTACATGTACATGTACTTCATATAAACATCACTCACCTAGTATTGATACTCTTGTCAATCTATTCTTTCTGGATTCTCTGAGATCTCTAGATGAGAGACATGATCTAGGTGCCTTGTTCAAGGGACCGTTGCTAGGCTTCTGTGCCAGGCTTTTGGGAGAGAGGGATTCTTTCTGCCGCCTCCTGCTGTATGCTTCTGTAGTGTGATTTTGTCTGAGAAAATGAGATATCCAAACATGTAAACCTGGATGATAAGATAAACCTACTCTTTGAAAGCATAGTATTCAGGCATTCCTCAAATAAAAGACCATTTCTAGGGCCACGCTGTTGAAAAAAAGAAGAGAGTATCAACTGCTTAAAATCTAATTGACATACATGTAGCTATTGAGGAGTTTTAAGAAACCATTGTTCACTACTTAATTGAACGAATGATTGATTATTGTGAAGAAAAATACCATTCACTGTCCCTTCCAAAATAAAGATACTTTATACTTACACACTTGGGTGTTGAAACATACTTCACAAACCTATAAACAGTCCTATCCTCTTATCTTTGCACTTGCTGTCCCATATATTTTTGAAACTTTAGATTAGTGGCCATATCAAAGTTGAAAATGGTGCAGAACTACTGGGAGCTCGATCTATCTAATCATCTAATTACGTCAACAGCACCATATGCAGGGATCAGTAATACATTCCATACTGCCTTTTATCGTAGGTGTGATTTATGCATCATTCTTTGTGTATTCTACTCCATAACACCCATAGTGCAGAAACAGGACTATGGGGTTCAGCGCGACTCAAGACTAGGGACTTTTAGATTCTGCACAACAAGAACGCGGACTGCCCTTTTAAGGCGATGTGACGTCACTTCCAGTGCCTTAAAAGGACGTCACATTGCCTTAAAAGGGCAGTCCACTTTCTCGTCGTGCAGAATCTATAAGTCCCTACTATCTACCTGTGTGATGCCTTGATGATACTCTCCAGCTCTCTATCCAACATGGAGGTAGGGGAACCCCCTGATTCACTGGTCAGTCCCTCCACACACACCAGATCTCCGGCCACTTCCATTTCACCCACGGGGGTGTTGAGAAGAGTGAAAGCCTCATCGGCACATCCGGATATCTCCTCCCCGTCCTCTAATGGAACATACTCAGTATGACCATCCTTATCTTCCTTCTCTGTGTTTTCCTCATTCTGTAGAACCACACCGCTCAACAGGTTCAACTTTTCAACGACATTGGATGTGCCGTTGTCTGCACTGTCTGAGTTGGGAGAAGGACTGCTGTCTTTGGACCCATGTACAGTCTTCTGTGTTGGTTTTCGTTTGGGTGAAGTAGCCTTCGCTCTGTCACGACTCTCCCTTGTCTTTTTGGGTGACGTTCGGTTGATGGCTGTTTTACTGCTGCTACCCTTTGCATGTGAACTGTGTGATCGATGCAAGCTTATAGATAGAGAAAAGGAAATACAGAGGACATCAATACTTCAATTTTTTTTAAATAGTCTCCACACAATATTTCCCACTTTGTTTCTAAAACTGCACGATATCTTAAAATCACATAATAAAATCAGGACTGATATCTCTTGAGAGAAAAGGAGTTGCATTGCGCACAAATCTTATTATGAACATGTACGAATAAGCCATTCAAAATTAGCAAGGAAAATATGATTTTGGATCTTCTGTATTCTCTTGTTTTTTATCCCGTATTTCCAAAAATACCTGGAATGAACTTTCTTTCTTACTAATAAATTGTACAACACTACTAAAAATGAAAGGTTACATTTGCTGCACAGCATGTTAGAGCACATAAACATACATGCATCACTTACTTTCTTCTAGATGACCTTCTTAACAAAGACTTTGTCTTGGCATTTGTAGAGACAACCTGAGTATATGTGGTACCCAGCACCAGCATCAATAGGATGGGACCAATGATTTCAAACGCATAGATTGCCTGCAAAACAATAAGAAATCAAACAAGGACTGTTATACAATGATACAATATACCAACTTGATTTTGTTTTGTCATGTACTGTACGTTGCTTTTATGACTGTCATACTGTTGTGGGTTTTTGTTTTTTAGTTTTTTTTATATATATAAAATATCCAAAATATTTATTATTGTACTGCGGATTAGCCTCAAGCCCCTGGCCTTTGCTGGTCTCCCCACACGTTTTTCAACAATATCTACATGTACATGTTATTAGTTGTTCTGTGTTTATGGACATTAGATTTTGTTTGCTACTTTTTCTCTTAATATTATTGTTTGTTAATTTTGTGTTACTTTGCATTTTTTATATGTCTGAACATGTATGTATACTTGTTTTTTATGAACCACATGTGGAAAATAAACTTGAACTTGAACTGAACTTGAACAAAAATCACCCAAACTTATTAAATGCATGACATTGAGTAAAGGCTACAAATTATAGGATATCCTACGATCTATGGCATATTAAAAATTCTATTTAGTTCTGATAATGACTGTGGGCTGATCGACGTTCTGACCATCACAAACATAAATATGACATTGAAACAGTCCCACAATTGTATTAATAAAGTCTTGAAAAACGATGTATGTAAACAGGGTTGGCCAAACAATAAAGGTAGACACAAGTCAAGTGATAAACTTGATGAGCTCTTACCTGGTGCTCCGTGCTTGGTTGAAAAACATAGAAAATTGCTACACACACAAGTTGTAGAAAGTAGAGGAATAGCGTTGAATAGAACGTGCTTGCTGATAGCTGTTGCCTCCACCTGTGCAATAAAGAGTCACGTACATCTTATAACCAGTTCATAAATATTTAATGTACATAAATTGTTTATTTTTTGCTAACTTTTTTGGGGTGATATGATTTAAGATTCACACTAGAGGCGGTAGCAAATTCTTATTCTTTAAAAAAAAACTTAAACACATGGATCATAGATCCCTAACCCTGAAATAGCCTATATCTTATATGAAATAAAGCCCCAAGCAAGTATATGTAACAAGGCAAATGCAGTCAAACCTTAGTGGCTACCTCTATATAAAGACCACCTGTCTATAGTGGCAAAGTATTTTGTCTCCCTTGAGAAAGAAATGTGTGTTTTAGAACCTGTCTAGAAAGGCCACATTTACAGTAGCCACTTTTTCTGCTCCCCTTGGTTGGCACAAGCTTGATGTTTCATTCTGTGCTCCCAGGTTTACAAAAGATAACATACACTATTCTTAATCGGTCATTTTCTTTAGCATAATGCTTTCTGTTATTGTTAAATAGAGTAGAAATTGTTTTTTTCTTTATGAGTAATCTTCACAATACATATGCAATTTATATTCCAGGAGTTAAATCTAGACATTCTTTAATGAAACGGCATTGTATAATACATGTGTATTCAAATTGTCGGACAAAGTTTGCCCTTGTGGCATGGCATGTTAGGGGCAATACTGGTAAACAGATACTATTGGACTTTGTTATTTACACTAGAAACACATCTATATTTGTACATGATTTTAAATATTCCCATTTTTCCATGTACCCAATACAAAAGTAGAAAACGAAAGAAATGGATGGACAAGTTAGAAAGAGGAAATAAAAAAAGGAATGAAAAATAGAAGACAGTAAAGGATGAACGAAGAAATAACATATCCCTGTTCTATCTAATACACTCAAACCTTTCTATAGCGACCGCCCAAGGGAAACATACAAAGTGGTCTATGTAGACGGGTGGTCTTTGTAGATGGGTTCCTTTACATGTAGTACATGTTTCAATGAGAAACCGTTTTCAAATAACATGTCCCTGTTCTATCTAACACACTCAAACCTTTTATAGCGACCGCACAAGGGAAACAAAACATGTGGTCTTTGTAGACAGGTGGTCACTAAAGCAGGTTTGACTGTACAAAGGACTTCCCCATCGTTAAAGATGTTTCTGCCAATCTTACCATGTGAAATAGAAAGGAAAGAAGAAGACTCGAAGGAGACCCTTCCATGTTGTGGCAAGCCAGGCATGATCTGGTTTGGCTTTGGTAAACGTTGAACCTAATGAGAAAATGAAATCAATCATATAGAGCATTAATAACTAGCCATAGAACTTCAGCCGAGGTATTAATAATATGATTGCAGGGCCCTCAGGGTGAACAGTATTGATACTGATGAGTCTACTACCCTGAGTAAACATGACATATCATTATTATCATTACAGCATTAGTTTGTCTCTAGTCATCTACAGTACTAAGAGTGACTGTGCAGAATGATAGTGGAGAATTTACAATAAGTGCATAAGCAGACTTAACAAGAGAAGACAAAAAAATGCATCTTTCATTTTATACGACGAAATTCCTAGATCCTTGTTAATAGATGTAAAAAGAATTAATTTCAAGATAATTTTCTGCGTTATTGCTGACCAAAGATTCGCAAGTTCAATAGGCATACTTTAGCGTGCACACAGAGATGGCGCACTTACCTCTAGATGCATTGCATGCTGCCCATATCGTATTCAAAAATCGTTGCATGCTTTTTCATGAAAAAATGTGGGATAGTATCAGTATTAAATGAATCACATGTGACCGCATTTGACCAATCATTTGATTGGGATCTAAGAGTGAGTTGCATAATTCTAGTTATTGTCATGATTTAATCAATCATCTGGTCTATGAGAGACTATCTTACAGTAGCTAATTAAGCAGAAAACTATAATAAAAAATGTTCATATTCATCATCATGTACATGTTTACCAATGGGGTAAATGAATAATTACCTCTCACTAAATCAACATCAATCAACTCTGTTTTGACTCTGCCAGTCTTCAGCTGGGCACCACTGGTATCCACTCCAAGACCCTACAAAACATAAGAAATTGCGATGATATATAAAAGATTTACAAGTGATTTGCGATTCTTGAAACATGCAGTGCATTCAAGTGATGTCTCAATGCTTTTGATACGTAAGTTCTGCTCATGGGTATCATGTAAAATGCTGTGTAGCATCTCAGTTTCCAAGCATAATGCATTGAGCTATTCAAATACAGGAAATATGAACAAGATTCATACATTTAGATCAAATTGACCTACCAGTATTCAAATATAGGTAATGCATGTATGGACATGATTCATACATTTTAGATAAAATATTTGGACACAATTCCTGTGGAGTATTCAAATAAAATAAAATAAAAGTCTGAAAATCCTAAATGCATGAAACTCATTCAGTTAAGATGGTTTCAGTTTCAACATGGTAAAAACAAACATACATGTACTTCCTCAGTTGACACTCATCCAAGCAACAATACTTTACTAAAGCAATACACATCACTTAAAGTAGCCACACGAAGAATCAAAAGTGTTTTGAATTGATGTAAAACTCATATCATTGCGAGGGGAAGCCTTGCCGATCAAATACAACAACTCTTCTCTTCAAAATATGTTTGGGGCCCGCAGTAATCAACTCTCAAAAATTTTAGTTTTGAGATCCAGAATCAGATTTTCTGCCTTCAGCGGTCCTTTATACATGTAGAGCGTCAATATTTGTGACGTCACATACGGGACACGGCTGGCTAGCTGCATACTGCTACACGACACTGAGTTGTTCGTCCAGTGTGTGACGTCACAATTCAGAGCTCGCTACGCTTGTGTGTTTGACTTACGTTCACTTCAGGGGCGTTCGGGGGTCTAAGGAGAGTCTTGACAAATTGCATTTTACGCCTTTTCATGATATCTATATGATTTCTCAGCAAATTGTTCGTGTTTTTCAAGAGAAAATCTTTCCATCCATATGTAATTTGTTCTAATTATGAGTTGTTAGTGAATTTTCTTTGTGTAGCTCCTTTAATGAGAGTATCTTATGAGAGAATTAACAGCTTGAACAGAAATTCTCATGATTGATCCTGTGCTCCAAATAACTCTACTCTTCACTGATTCCAATGATTCAATCGCATCTTATCCTTGAAATGCATAAATACATATAACAATGCAAGTTAGAAAGGATTCTTGTAACTTCAATTCGATGAAAGATGCCAACTTCAACAGCTAAGTATTTAATGCACAATTTAATGACTCGGCAGTTGATGGACAAAGTTACGTCTGACTCATTTCTCTTATTCTTACCTGTGATTCCTTTTGTTCTACATGTTCCTCCCATAGTTCCTTGTCATAAGCACCAATCTTTGAATTGAATAACAAATTTATTAAAGATATGTTATTCATACATGTTAATTTAAATACCTATTGAAATTGTATCTAATTAATAATAAAAATCTATCTTTAATATTTGTTCTAGCTATTCACAAATTACTTATCCATTTCAGCAGACATAACAATTTTTGACCCAATGTACATGTACATGTATACACATTATGAGAATGACCGTTTCACACATTCTTAGGAACTTGGTCTCTGTTTTGCGGTGCAATATACATGAATACATATTTTCTAAAGATCTTGGAAGAAAAAAGATGTATCATCAGAAATTATATTCCTGTAAAATGACAACTGTACATGTACATGAATATCTGATTGTATTTTGCCTCATGTTATAAAAATTGTAGTATTCCCGATATTAGGTCAATATAACATTTGCATTGGAATGTTTTATACATTTTGTTCAAGATATTTCATGGGTATGTCTATTTTGCTTTTAACTAATATTTATCCTAACCATTTAAAAAATTATTGAATGATGACAAATTAATTACACATGTGGATTGTGAAAGATAAAACAAATATTCCTTCTTCTTTCCAGAAGAAACAGTTGAACGGTCCTTACCTGTTGTTGAAAATGAGAGATGGCGTCATTGAGGTTATCACGAACAGGCATCTTCTGGTTACTGCTGGTTGCCATAGTAACCCCAACACCCTCCACAATAATTCACTCCTGTCTTTGATTCGTAATGTCTCTTGAAAAAGTTTATATACTTCATGTGCTCACATCAACAGCTGCAGATGGCTCGAGTACTAAATGCAAATATTAAATACTCTATCCACACTAAATGGGCTATGTCTGGGATTCCATGGTGTATTTCGATCTGTAGTCTAGCAACATCAAATTGTACATTCATGTACCGGTATACCCTTCATTGGAGATCAATCCATGATGATATCACTGTGTATCTAAACAAGCCAGAGATCCTCTTGATGATAACATGTACCTCATGCAAACAGACTGCTCTGTATTCAATTGAAGACGCCTAGTGCGTACTTAGAGCACTGCTTTTCAAATTCTCATAGTAAATGTATTTCATCTGCACAGCTTCAAGTACAGTAGATCTGATTACACTTTTGTGAAGCTTGTAGGTGTTGATTTATTCCTTGATACATGTACGCGTAGACAGACTGCTTAAATGTGGGTCAATGATGACCTGCAAGCTTCCGTTCCTGTTGGAATTTCATCATTGTATGCCTTCAAAGTGAACTAGAACTTTAGAACCCTTAATTCACAGCAAGCACAGTGAAACTGAGTTTAAGCAGCACCTCTGTAGTACCACTTCATATACAGTATATGATGCTGGTAGCCAGCAACAAAATAATTCATTTCCTGGATGGGAGAGAAAACAAAAGAGAGATCAGACAACCCTTCAATCTAAAGTAAACAAAAGAAAACTAACAGGGTTCACTGCAAGCAAAACAGTTACTCAACAGTGTTAAATCCATAGTCATTGCTTAGTTGCTTACGGTATACTACTTTGTCATGTTATTTCCTGCTATTGATCAACTTACATGTAGATTTAGACTAGTAAGAGAAAACTCTACTATTATGGTTTACAAATGCATTTTAGCTTGCAATTCTATGTCTAAAAAAGTGCTTTGCTATATACAGGGAGGTGTGAGTTTAAACTCACATCTCCCTGATATATGCATGTATATACGTGTATCTACACAAACATATAGAGAGGTCTCATGATGTCTGATTATATCACCTCCTCTTGAAAAAAGAGGAGATCTCTTCATTGGATGACTGCATGTGAATACAAGAGGGCCTCAAGAGGTACATTTGATAGAGACTCCTGTTAGCCTACAGTTTTGTATATATACATTATACATGGTTACAAGTACAACAGCACACAAATATTTCCATTTTGTAAGAAAAAAGAGTAGAGGGGCGACAGTAGCAATTTGGAATGGAATCAACACACTATGATTAATATTTGTGGAGATCAAAATATTGATTAATTTGTTTACCTCCAGTTTAACAGGCATTATATGCATTCAAATTCAATGCATAGACTTATATGCGTTCAAATTCAAAGCATAGACTTGTTTATTTGTTACATGTTTGTAAGTGTCTAGTAACCTGTTACGACTTATGGGTAGCCTACCGGTACTGGTATTTCAATTGTCAGAGTGCAGATAGGGTACAGTACATGATTATTAGCTGCATAATAGTAGATCAGACTATGAAATACATGTACATCTATAACCCCCATCCATACCATTCTCTTGTATGAAATAAATTATAACATGTGAATATAGAAGGGTACAACAAACAAGACACTAGAGAACTACCAAATGAAGATCCAAGTCCAAGTTGCCTTCAATAGAGTACAAAGATTGACGTCAAAGTCACGTCATACTAGCTAAGTTGTCAAGGTTGATGGTTCCAAACAATGTTGTGCTAAATAATGGCATGGTGCATGAGCATGCACAACAGCACCAAACACTGAATTTGCACTGCTCCAGCCTGTCGCTTGAACAATTTCGGAGTGAACCTCATACCATTAAATGTTCTGTTGTTTGGAACCAGCAACCTGAACAATGAGGGAGTATGACGTTAGCACTTTGGTACTCTATGCCTCAACCATCACATTGTTCTCTACATGAATCTATTTGCTCACAATTCCAAACAATGCAAAATACTCAAGCAAAACTACCTGAAAATAATATACATGCATGTATGTACTGTAGTTACCATTGGAAAAATAAAATACACAGCCAACAGTTCCTTTTACCTTATCTGTAGATCAAAATTGACTTTCATTCATAAAGCACAAGGCCACAAACTACATGTAATATTTCAAAGCACAAAAAGAACAATTAAAGGCCCACAGCTAGAGGTCTTACTATTGATCACAAGCCTTCACTATCTTGTAGTATGGGCAGGTGTGTGAAGTGAATAAAGATTAAGGAACAAAGGATGTAACCGTTGAGTTTGGAGGATTATATACAGTGTAAGTAATACAAAGGCAATAGGAGTACTGTATGCTAGCCTACTTTGCTCATTTGCATGTAACATTTTCACATAAAGAATAAGACAGCAAACATTTGCATATCAACCTATAGTCTCTAACTGATTAACATGCTACATGTACATTCAAGGACAATGAATAGAGCAGTATTACCACTGGTTCTGTATGTTCATAATCAAGTATCCTATACCCCATTCCCAGTCATACCATTTTGATGGAACTCATCTCCATTGCCTTGGTTGGTAACAAAGGAATTCCCGTAACAAAGGCATGTGAAGAGTAAAATTGAGGAGATAGAGCTCTACAGTATGTAAGCTTTACTTACTGGGAATGAACATTTGGATGGATAAACTAATATAATATCCTCTTTTCCACATCTTTTTACCTCCTCCACTCTTTTCACCTCTTTTCCACATTTTCATGTCATATTGTTAACTTTCTTGTTTAATATTGTTCATGAATTTATTCTTGTTGACGATGAACTTGTTGTTACCGTTTATGAATGTATTGTTGTATTGTTTTCATGTCAGTGGAAAGAAATAAATATATCCTAATTGTTAAACCTTATCCTTTCAGACTGGACATACATGTATATCATCCAGGTGCATTGTATTCTTTGATCCATAATTTTGAAACATACAGGCCGAGACAATCCACAGAAAAAAAAGAGGAATCTCTCAAGGCAGAATTAGAAATACATTCAGTAAATGCTTTTATGCTAGGCTATTTTATACACAGACATTATCTGACCAACAAAAATATAGAGCATGCGCCCCCCCCCCCAATATATTTTGTTTTTATTGCTTGTCATATTATCATCAGTTTGAAATCAACGTGAATTCACATTTAAGTCAGCCGCAAAATCAAGATTTGCATTCATTTTTTGGTGCAGTGTATGGACGTGGACCCTTGTATTCTGTCCATCAACTTTAACATGGGATTCGAGAACGACTTGAAACCGTACATTATGTTTCAGTCACATGATCAGGGTCATGAATTCGACTTTGTCTTTAGAATATGCAGTTCACCATGCAAGATAGAATCTAGTAGAACTCTACTCTCTAACTGTTAAGAGTCTAGATCTAGATCTAAACAAAAGAAATCCTAAAACACAAAATTAAATGACAATATAGATCTAGAGGAATCTAGGCCTAGTCTAGACTAGATCTAGATCTAGTCAAACTCAAAGGCAGTACTTAGTAGCCTTTCACTTTGAAACAATGGTCCCATCATAATATATAGATAATTTAGACTGAGACACTGCCACTGCACTGCACTGCAGCTGCACTGCACTGGTAAGCTCAGCTCAATGTCAACCACACCAGTACCGCATGCAACATACACACTTCGGCACACAGCCTTTCTCCCTAGCGCTAGCGGTAGCCTAGGCTAGCCTCATCTCACACAGTCATCCCCGTCAAAATATTCGAGCATTTTCGGTATAAAATAACATTTACATGGCTTTGTACTAGGCTATAGCTTATTTTAAAAAGCGTGATATTGAGCTTCATAGGACAGAATCAATGGAGGTAACTTACCTTGCAGTCAAAGGAATGCACTTTTCCCACAACATCGAGATGGGGGACATTTCCGAAAGTCCAAATCAGCTGTTCAATTTTCAAAGTTATTTTCTCACGATCGCACAAAATGTTGTTTACCTATTTTCTTAGTGGCCTAACCGGATGTACAGCGCGTGCGCACATTAATTATGTAGGTCAGTAGGTGGGTTCATCATCAATGCCCATCAAAAGAGTAAAGTTTGCACGATTTAAACTTTAGGGAAACTTTGATGCCCTTTCCTGGATTGATTTTACCCCGAAGTATGGCTGTGTGCAGGGGCGTCGGCCAAAGAGGGGGGGGGGGGGGGTGCGACACCCCCACTGTCAGGATATTGTCGGTAAAAAGTGCGCTGCCGTTGGGAAAAAAGAGAAAAGGGGGAGGGGAAAAAAGAGAGAGAAAGGGAAAGAAAAGAAAAAAGAAAAGGAAAAGAAAAGAAAGAAAGGGAAAGAAAGGAAAGAAAAGAGAAGGAAAAAAAAAGAGAAAAAAGAAAAAGAGGGAGGGGAGGAAAGAAAGGAAAAAAAAAGAAGAAAAACGAGAAAAGGGAAAAAAATTTAGAAACGATGAAAGAGAGGAGAAAGGGGAGGTAAGAGCCTGAGAGAGGAGGAGTGGGAGTAAAAGAGAGAGGGGGGTTGTTGGGTGGAGTCGTCTCGTCAAGGGAGCAAGAATTAAGACACGGTTAAATATGTTGCTGTGTCGGGTCAGCTGTGTCGGTATTCTTGCTCGATCCTCTTGTACCCTATAATCAATGCAGAACTTTGAAGTCTGTGAGATGTATATATTGTCGGTCGGCCGACAAGATTTTTCCCGACGAACTGTGACTTTTTATCCGCTGTGTCGACTTAATTCGAGAGTGACTACAACTTGTATGTTCTCGAAGTTCGCTTTCCTATAATATCAGCTGAAGAAGTCAGAGGTTTAACATTTTCGGGGAAACTAAATTCAAACAAGGATTAAGAGTCAACAATGGTACGACAAAATCGTCTTCATTTCTCCATTATTTGACGAAACGCCAAAAATTCCGCGCTTCGCGCGCCGGCAGGGGGAAACTTCAATTAGACGAGTCGAGAACGGTGAAACGAATCGTCTTCTTAAATTTTCCGCACTTCGCGCGGGAGGGGGAGAAACTGAATCAGACAAGGAATAAAAGTCGAGCACGGTTCAACGAATCGTCTACTTTCTCCAATAATTTAATGATACGTCAAAACTTCGTGCGGGAGGGGGAGAACTGAATTCAAATAAGGATTAAGGGTCGAGAAGAGTACACTGAATCGTCTGCTTTTTTTCATAATTTAATGGAACGTCAAACTTCCGCGCTTCGCGCGGGAGGGGGAGAAACTGAATTCAGACAAGGAATAAAAGTCGAGCACGGTTCAACGAATCGTCTACTTTCTCTAATAATTTAATGAAACGTCAAAACTTCTGCGCTTCGCGCGGGAGGGGGAGAACTGAATTCAGATAAGGATTAAGGGTCGAGAAGAGTACACTGAATCGTCTGCTTTTTCTCATAATTTAATGGAACGTCAAACTTCCGCGCTTTGCGCGAGAGGCCGGGGGAGAAACTGAATTCAGACAAGGATTAAGAGTCGAGCACGGTTCAACGAATCGTCTACTTTCTCTAATAATTTAATGAAACGCCAAAGCCTCCGCGCTACGCGCGGGAGAGGGGAAAAATTCGTTCAGACAAGGATTAATAGTCGAGAACGGTTCAATAAATCGTCTTCTTTTCCTAATAATTTAATGAAACGTCAAAAGTTCTGCGCTTTGCGCGGGAGGGGGAGAACTGAATTGAGATAAGGATTAAGAGTCGTAAACAGTACACCGAATCGTCTGCTTTTTCTCACTATGAATTTAATGAAACTGAATTTAGAGAACGAGAACGGTTCAACGAATCGTCTACTTTCTCTAATAATTTAATGAAACGCCAAAGCTTCCGCGCTTCGCGCGAAGGGGGGGGGGGGGGGGGGATTCGTTCAGAGAAGGATTAATAGTTTTGTCGGTAATCATTGGCCTCTACACCCCCCACCCCCACTGAAAAAGGTCTAGCGACGCCCCTGCATGTGTGTGCGTGTGTATGTATGAGAGAGAGAGAGAGAGAGAGAGGGGGGAGGAAAAAAAGGGGGGCAGAGCTAGGTGTAAGCGGATACTTCCAACTACCCACTTCCAACTAGAAGAGAAAAAACATGACAGGCAAGGTTGTCTGTTCTTATGTCATCTTGCAAGACCCCCGGCCCCCTTGCATCACACTCTTGTAAAGAGAGAGCGAGCCTTTATCCCAGAGGTGCAGAGTAGAAAATCGACTACGCGGTATCAGCAAACAGGGTGGGGCTTTCTGAGATCTCTCCATCTCTGTTCTCTAGCTCTCTTTTTCTCATTCTACTTTCTTTCTCTCTCTGGTCTTGTTTGCTTTTATACCATCTGTTAATCATCCCTTTTAATCTTATTCTTCTTTCCTATTACCCTTTGGCTCTCTGAATCGCTTCTCTGAATCTCATCCTTAATAAAAAATTACTCAGATTTCTAATAAAATCTAATACATTTTCCTCCAAATTGACAAAATTTCTGAGCTAAAACGATTAAACCATAAGATACTGAATTTTGTCAGTTCATGGCTGATATTTGTTTGTGCATATATGGGCCTACATGTGACCAAATTGTTTGTCCAATTATATGCACTCTCATGCACAAATGATGAAACTGTAATTGGTGCATCTTCATCTTAAAATCATGCCTCTACAAGTCTACATTTTTTAAATCAAACTGCAGGGCCAATTTTTAAAAGACAATTTTCTCTGTACTTTCCTTTAGGTTCTGTTTCGTTATTCTCATGAACCTAGGAGCGTTTTCAAATGTGGGGAGGGGGAGGGGGTGACCATGAGAACAAGCATATTATTTATTATTATATTTTATTACAATGCAGCAGTATTGAAGGGGTCTATTTGAAAGTAATTTGGTGATTGGTCTCCTGTAATTCAAGTCTATAACATCACAAGTTACACAAATACTGAGGAAATTGTTTGAAATTTATTAGAAACCAATACAATAGAAGTATAGAACAATCTAAAAACTATATTTATATATAACTAAATCACCATACATTGGTAAAAGTAGTACAAAATTACACATTATTGCATTCACTTTTTTCTATGTGACATAGCACTTAAATACATCTAAGGTGACCATTCTATAGACAGAGGTATGATATATCTGCAATAGAGAATAGCGATTCTTCCAAATTCATGTATTCATGATTTAATATAAGCTTTGCAGGAGTTGTAGAGTTAATTGATTGGAAAAAATTGTAACTAAGTCGTGTAAATATAAGCTACGGTATTCAATTTGGTCACAGAGATTCAAATGATGATGGAACAAAATAAACAAGATTTAGAACTTATGAGGCATCTGTTCTGATAACATATTGTAGAGCGTGATACACATAGCATGGATATATATCCATGTAGATAGTCGGTCACTATTAAGGTATTTAAACAAAAAAGTTCCCAAATAAGTAAATAAAATAAAAAACATACGGTATAATAAATGGCACAAATCATTTATTTGAATACCGGTAGACATAATAATACAAAGACACACTTTCAATCATTTTTTACAAGTTATATATATGATTGATTTAAGAATTGAAGGGTACAAACTACATGTACTGTACCCTCTTATTCTCAACCTACCCGGTATATGAAAGACCGCTACATAGTATAGTCAGGGAGATAACAGAACATCTCCCTGGTATAGATACACATTTTACAGTAGTTACTTTGCTTTTACTTCAGAATTACCACCTGTAAGGCCACATATAACATCAGAATGTTTAGTTTCCTCCATAACTCTTTTCGGCAGTACGACTAATATTTGTGCATAGTGAAGGATTCTTTAATTGCAAAGTATCTTTTAGGGGAAGAAAATCGACAACTTTCTCTTAGCATCTTCTTGTGCATGGTTTGTGTACCTGAGTTCTTCAAATGGAATTGTTTTTTTGAAAATAATTTGTTCTAAACAAACATGATGACATGCATGAGGTCAAGTTGTTTTCCTTATACTATTTTTTACCAATAAATACTTAAGAAAGGAATGTGATGACTTTGAAAAAAATCTCAACCTTTGTTTGGTCATATCTTTAATTAATGTATTTCCCATCAGACTTTTTTATCACTGAAATTGGTATTCTTTCAATCATCCTTACTCTTCACTTAAATTTTTTGGAAATTTACAAGATTTTCTGTGGCAGTGTTTGACTCAAGATGGAGGCAATACAATGCATGGGGTTGTATTCTGAATGTGAACTTCAATTTTGATAATAGGATTTAAATATCACAATGCTCAGATGTCTTCCGTATACACAGCCACCTAGACACAGTCATTAACCAATGTTGAATCATAATTTCGATATGCTATGTTTCTGAAATAAAATAAAAAATAGGTGTTAGGAGTACCACCCCTGTTCACTAGTATCTTGTTGCAACACATTTTTATATTCATGAGTAGCACTAGTAGTACATCATTAACTTGGTGAAGATTAACAAGGTGAAAGCAAGTTGTTTTAGCTGCTCAGTGAACTAACTTGTAAATAAATAAGACTAACATTGCACATATCTATGTGCTCATTAACTTCTCTGAAATTCCAATGAAACAAATCATTGCTCATTAAACTAGATGGAACTTCGACTGCGCGCAGTCGAAATGATGCCTCCGTCATAGAGCAATTTTACAAACCAAAACAGAAGAAATTGTTCAAATTCAAGTTCAATTGTAATCCATTAACAGGTTCTCAGAATATCGTGATTACAAGCAATTTCTCATATACATATATGACCCTTTGATCTTTGACCACATGACCCTAACATCTACTCAGTTCATTGGCTCTGCAAGATTTTCCGAGTTAAATAGTAATCCATCTGTCAGTTCTAATGAGAATGCGTTCACAAGCTATTTTTGCATACATAATGAGCCCATGACCTTTGACCTTTGACCTCATGACCCAAGAATCTACTCAGTTCATTGGCTCTGCAAGATACATACATGATCTAAGTTTGGGAGGAATCCAACAATCTGTTCTAATGATAATGCGATCACAAGCTATTTTTGCATGCATAATG